AACTGCTGATAGAGACGTCTGGCGATCTCTCTGGCAAACCTCTACACCCTAAGGTAGAAGAGGAGCGACTAAGTAAGTAAGTAAGTAAGGGAAGTTGTTGTCTTGTTGCTGCTTGAAAGGTCTGGCTGTGTTGTGTAAAGTTGTTGTCTTGTTGCTGCTTGAAAGGTCTGGCTGTGTTGTGGAAAGTTGTCTTGTTGCTGCCTGAAAGGTCTGACTGTGTTGTGGAAAGTTGTTGTCTTGTTGCTGCCTGAAAGGTCTGGCTGTGTTGTGGGAAGTTGTTGTCTTGTTGCTGTCTGAAAGGTCTGACTGTGTTGTGGAAAGTTGTTGTCTTGTTGCTGCCTGAAAGATCTGGCTGTGTTGTGGGAAGTTGTTGTCTTGTTGCTGTCTGAAAGGTCTGGCTGTGTTGTGGAAAGTTGTCTTGTTGCTGCCTGAAAGGTCTGGCTGTGTTGTTTGAAGTTGTTGTCTTGTTGCTGACTGAAAGGTCTAGCTGTGTTGTTTGAAGTTGTTGTCTTGTTGCTGACTGAAAGGTCTGGCTGTGTTGTTTGAAGTTGTTGTCTTGTTGCTGACTGAAAGGTCTGGCTGTGTTGTTTGAAGTTGTTGTCTTGTTGCTGACTGAAAGGTCTAGCTGTGTTGTGGAAAGTTGTTGTCTTGTTGCTGACTGAAAGGTCTGACTGTGTTGTTTGAAGTTGTTGTCTTGTTGCTGACTGAAAGGTCTGGCTGTGTTGTTTGAAGTTGTTGTCTTGTTGCTGACTGAAAGGTCTGGCTGTGTTGTTTGAAGTTGTTGTCTTGTTGCTGACTGAAAGGTCTGGCTGTGTTGTTTGAAGTTGTTGTCTTGTTGCTGACTGAAAGGTCTGGCTGTGTTGTTGTTGAAGTTGTTGTCTTGTTGCTGTGTGAAAGGTCTAGCTGTGTTGTGGAAAGTTGTTGTCTTGTTGCTGACTGAAAGGTCTAGCTGTGTTGTGGAAAGTTGTTGTCTTGTTGCTGACTGAAAGGTCTAGCTGTGTTGTTTGAAGTTGTTGTCTTGTTGCTGACTGAAAGGTCTGGCTGTGTTGTTTGAAGTTGTTGTCTTGTTGCTGACTGAAAGGTCTGGCTGTGTTGTTTGAAGTTGTTGTCTTGTTGCTGACTGAAAGGTCTAGCTGTGTTGTGGAAAGTTGTTGTCTTGTTGCTGACTGAAAGGTCTGGCTGTGTTGTGGAAAGTTGTTGTCTTGTTGCTGTCTGAAAGGTCTGGGGTGTTGTGGGAAAGTTTGTTGTCTTGTTGCTGTCTGAAAGGTCTGGTTGTGTTGTGGGAAGTTGTTGTCTTGTTTGCTGTCTGAAAGGTCTGACTGTGTTGTGGGGTGTTGTTGTCTTGTTGCTGTCTGAAAGGTCTGACTGTGTTGTTGGAAAGTTGTTGTCTTGTTGCTGTCTGAAAGGTCTGGTGTGTTGTGGGAAGTTGTTGTCTTGTTGCTGTCTGAAAAGGTCTGGTGTGTGTTGTGGGAAGTTGTTGTCTTGTTGCTGTCTGAAAGTCTGGCTGTGTTGTGTTGTGTTGTGGAAAGTTGTTGTCTTGACTGAAAGGGTCTGACTGTGTTATGGAAAGTTGTTGTCGTGTTGCTGTGGTGGTGTGGGGTGTGTTGTGGGGGGTTTGGGGTCTTGTTGCTGCCTGAAAGGTCTGGCTGGTTTTGTGTGTGTTGTGGGAAGTTGTTGCCTGTGGGGGAGAAGTTGTGGGGGGGTCTGTGGGGGGGTTGTGGGGGGTGTGGGACTGTCTGTTGGGGTGGAGTGGTGGGTTTTTGTCTGATGTTGCCTGATAGGGGGGGGTCTGGGCACACCTGTGGGAGTCCAACTTACTTTTCTGGAAGGAAGAGTGGGGTGGTTGTGGATTTGGGGGGTTGGTGTGGGGGTGTCTGAAAACTAAAACCTGTGCTGGTGTTTGGGAGAGGAGTTGTTGTCTGATGGGTGCTGCGTTTGGAAGGTTAACTGGTGTTTGTTGCTGGGAAATTAGACCAAAATGGTGGCTTTGGTTGAGGTGGGTTGTTGGTTGGTTGGGGTGTTGGGGTGTGGGTGGGCATGGGGGGAGTGGTGTTTGTGGTGTTTGTGTGGGGGGCAAGAGGAAAAATGGCTGGTGTGGTGTACCTGTGGGTGGGTTTTGGTGTTGTTTGGGTGGTTGTTGGGTGGGGACAAGTCTGGGTGGGTGGGGGTCGGTGTGGGGGGTCTGGTGGTGTGGTGTGACATGAAGGGGGTGGGTCCGTGGTCTGGTTGGGGGTGTTCTTGATTTGTTTGGTGGTGGTTGGGTGGGGGGTGTGTGTTACTGGTTTGGTTTGTGTGTTGGTGTTTTTTGTTGTCTGGGGGTTGTGGTCTGGGAGGTTAGGTGGGGTTTGTGACCTGTGGGTGGTTGGGGGTCTGGGGTGCGCTGGTTTTGGGGTTGTTTGTCCCTGTGGGTGGGTGGGGGGGAGGTGGGTCTTGTGTTGGTGTTGGTGGAGGTCTGGGTTCTGGTGGGTGTGTTGTGGTTGGGGGGGGTTGGGGTGGGGGTGTGGGTGGGTGGGGTGTTTGTAAGTAAGTTCTGGAAGTGGGTTGTCTTGTTGCTGCTTGAAAGGTCTGGCTGTGTTGTGTGGAAGTTGTTTGTCTTGTTGCTGCTTGAAAGGTCTGGCTGTTTTGTTGTGGAAAGTTGTGTCTTGTTGCTGCCTGAAAGGTCTGGCTGTGTTGTGGAAAGTTGTTGTCTTGTTGCTGCCTGAAAGGTCTGGCTGTGTTTGTGGGAAGTTGTTGTCTTGTTGCTGTCTGAAAGGTCTGGCTGTGTGTTGTGGAAGTTTGTTGTCTTGTTGGCTGTCTGAAAGGTCTGGCTGTGTTGTGTCTGTGGGGGGTTGTTGTGTCTTGTGTTGCTGTCTGAAAGGTCTGACTGTGTTGTGGAAAGTTGTTGTCTTGTTGCTGCCTGAAAGGTCTGGTTGTGTTGTGGAAAGTTGTTGTCTTGTTGCTGTCTGAAAGGTCTGGCTGTGTTTGTGGAAAGTTGTTGTCTTGTTGCTGTCTGAAAGGTCTGGCTGTGTTGTGGGAAGTTGTTGTCTTGTTGCTGTCTGAAAGGTCTGGCTGTGTTGTGGAAAGTTGTTGTCTTGTTGCTGCCTGAAAGGTCTGGCTGTGTTGTGTTGTGGAAAGTTGTGTTTTGTCTTGACTGAAAGGTCTGACTGTGTTGTGGAAAGTTGTTGTCGTGTTGCTGTGGCTGAAAGGTCTGACTGTGTTGTGGGAAGTTGTTGTCTTGTTGCTGGTTGAAAGGTCTGTGCTGTTTTTTGTGTTGTGTGGGTGTTGTGTTGTCTTGTTGGGAGAAGACAAAGGTGTACTGGGTGTGTTGTGGAAGATGAGGTGGTGTGTCTATCAGGGGCTTTGCTGATAGCTAAATCAGAGGCACACCATTCAGTCCAACTTACTTGTCTGGAAGGGGGGGGTTGAAAAGAAAGGGGGTGGGTGGTGGTCAGTGTCTCCAAAACTGTGGATGGTGATGGGGGGGTGAGGAGAAGGTTGGTGTGGATCATGTGGGTCAGTATGCGTTGGAAAGCAGGTTGGGGGGGTTGTGGCTACCTTGGGGTTGTTGTTAGACCAAAATGGAGGCATTGGACTGAGGTGGTGTGTGGAAAAGGGTGCTGCTGGGAGACTCTTCCAGTGTGTTTGGGTTGTCTGTAGGTGGTTTTGAAATTGTGTGTTGTGGACGAAAATGGGGGTTTGTTGGCTGGTTTGCGTATGTACCAGTGTTGTGACCTATGGTGTGTCATGGGCAATGTGTGGAAAGTTGTTGTCTTGTTGCCAGCTGCAGGCCTCGGAATGTGTCTGTGGTCTGGGTTGGTGTTGGTCCAAGTGACAAGTTGGGGTGTGACAAGGTCCGCAATCAGTGTTGTTGGAAAGTTGTTGTACCCAGTGCTGGTTACTGTCTGAGTGGATCAGTGGGAGTTACGGATGGTTTTGGTTGGTGTGCAGAATGGGTTTGAATCGGTGTTGTGGGGGGGGGGGTTGTATGAACTTGGTTGTTGGGTCTGGGACGACCCAGGGTGCGCTGGGAAAACAACATCCGACAGTCCCTGACTGACAGTGGACTGGGGTTGCTGGCCAGAAAGGGAACTGCTGATAGAAGGTTGTCCTGGCGAAATCTGGCAAACCTGGTTGCCTGGGGTGAAAGGAGCGTTCTGTAAGTAAGTAAGTAAGGGAAGTTGTTGTCTTGTTGCTGCTTGAAAGGTCTGACTGTGTTGTGGGAAGTTGTTGTCTTGTTGCTGCTTGAAAGGTCTGGCTGTGTTGTGGAAAGTTGTTGTCTTGTTGCTGCCTGAAAGGTCTGGCTGTGTTGTGGGAAGTTGTTGTCTTGTTGCTGCTTGAAAGGTCTGGCTGTGTTGTGTAAAGTTGTTGTCTTGTTGCTGTCTGAAAGGTCTGGCTGTGTTGTGGGAAGTTGTTGTCTTGTTGCTGTCTGAAAGATCTGGCTGTGTTGTGGGAAGTTGTTGTCTTGTTGCTGTCTGAAAGGTCTGGCTGTGTTGTGTAAAGTTGTTGTCTTGTTGCTGTCTGAAAGGTCTGACTGTGTTGTGGAAAGTTGTTGTCTTGTTGCTGTCTGAAAGGTCTGGCTGTGTTGTGTAAAGTTGTTGTCTTGTTGCTGTCTGAAAGGTCTGGCTGTGTTGTGTAAAGTTGTTGTCTTGTTGCTGCCTGAAAGGTCTGACTTTGTTGTGGAAAGTTGTTGTCTTGTTGCTGTCTGAAAGGTCTGACTGTGTTGTGGAAAGTTGTTGTCTTGTTGCTGCCTGAAAGGTCTGGCTGTGTTGTGGAAAGTTGTTGTCTTGTTGCTGCCTGAAAGGTCTGGATGTGTTGTGGGAAGTTGTCTTGTTGCTGTCTGAAAGGTCTGGCTGTGTTGTGGAAAGTTGTTGTGTTGTTGCTCTCTGAAAGGTCTGACTGTGTTGTGGGAAGTTGTTGTCTTGTTGCTGCCTGAAAGGTCTGGCTGTGTTGTGTAAAGTTGTTGTGTTGTTGCTGTCTGAAAGGTCTGACTGTGTTTTTTGACAATTGCTGTGCTTCGACAGGGGCCTCAGCCAGGGCAGCCCTTCAAGTTCACAGTGGCGGAATCATGCGATCGTATCAAGGAAGAGTTCAGTTTCCTACAAGCACAGTATCATACGTAAGTATTATCTGGTCATTATGTTCCGGTCATCTATTTGTCAACCATAGCTTCATACATACAAATCTTCTGGTCGTGTTGAGATGGAATCTTCAGGTCGTGTTGAGATGGAATCTTCTGGTCGTGTTGAGATGGAATCTTCAGGTCGTGTTGAGATGGAATCTTCTGGTCGTGTTGAGATGGAATCTTCTGGTCGTGTTGAGATGGAATCTTCTGGTCGTGTTGAGATGGAATCTTCTGGTCGTGTTGAGATGGAATCTTCTGGTCGTGTTGAGATTGAGCTTATCCGCCATAGTGACACGCTGTACAAAAGTATCACCTTATTGTTATTCCCGTGTGGGCTCAAGGGCCCCATTATGGGGCCGGAGGAGGGGGGGGGGGAATAATCCAGCTTCCTCGCTAACAATAAAGTTGTTAGAGATGTCTGATTAGGGGTTTCCTTTAAGGTCGGAGTCCATCAGCTTTAGAGGCAAGGAACCAACAGTCTGCGGCGTAGAAATAAGCTGGATCTGTTAAACGTATGTACACACAAAATTCAAGTACTGGAGCAGGACTAAACTAAAGGGTGGACGAAGAGCCAGAACTTTCCTCCAAAGTTTACAGGTGGTGAACGCAAACAAGATCTTAGCATTATGTTCGTGTTTCATGCAGAGTATAATATCTAAATATCAGCTGGCCAGTATGTTAACTTATCTCTTAATGGAGAAATAAGACTGCATTTATAGAGGCAGTGATTTGGCCCTCCAGAGGAAGCCAGTGTGAGTAGCTCTTGCCATTGCGACCCTCAGTGGAGTGTGATTCATTGTGAGGATTTAGCTCTCAGGCTGTTGGACAGTACCCTCCATGGGCTGTTGGACAGTACCCTCCGTGGGCTGTTGGACAGTACCCTCCATGGGCTGTTGGACAGTACCCTCCGTGGGCTGTTGGACAGTACCCCCCATGGGCTGTTGGACAGTACCCCCCATGGGCTGTTAGACAGTACCCTCCATGGGCTGTTGGACAGCACCCCCCATGGGCTGTTGGACAGTACCCTCCGTGAGCTGTTGGACAGTACCCTCCGTGGGCTGTTGGACAGCACCCTCCATGGGCTGTTGGACAGTACCCTCCGTGGGCTGTTGAACAGTACCCTCCGTGGGCTGTTGGACAGTACCCCCCATGGGCTGTTGGACAGTACCCCCCATGGGCTGTTGGACAGTACCCTCCATGGGCTGTTGGACAGCACCCTCCATGGGCTGTTGGACAGTACCCCCCATGGGCTGTTAGACAGTACCCTCCATATGTCACTTCACTGTTAATGACGAAAACGTGATTACTTGTCAAAAATCTGTGGGCAGCGACAGTTTGTTTATTTTTCAGTAGTATTTGTATTCTTATTACTATTATTATCCCCACTGACATTTTTGTCACTAATATTTCTACTGCTGTTATAATCATTTTTTTCATTATTAGTATTGTTGTTATTATTATTTCCGTTCCTTTATTTCCGCATCGCCCTTTCTTCTGCCTATATTTTACAGTAATTCGCCCACCTCCCAGGTGGTCAGGATACCTTTTCCCTTGTGTTTTTGTTGATAAAGGCTGTGATTGTTACCATCTATGTGTTTCCCCCTTCTTTCCATCTTTGTTAAACTTCTTAGTCACACACAGTTCAGTGGATTAATTGAGTGCCTGTGGTAGTTTCCCCATGATTTCCACATCACCGAGACTTAGATGTGTTGTCTTGTAGGCGGTATTTTAACATTGTAGAATCGTGTACCGTATCACTGTATGAGCTCCAGGGCCCTGTTTGGTACTTAAGTTTTAATTCACCCCAAACAAACGTAGCTATGTTTAGGTTAAGTATAGTTTGCACGGGTTAGGGTCTGGGGTTAACAAGTTACAGATTATATTTAATTTAAAAAAAAACAGCAAAAGAAAACACTTTGCTGTCACGTGATATGCCAGGAATTCCCGGATTGCGTTTGTTTGGGGTGAATTACAATTAAAGTACCCCATATTTTGACGGACTAATAATAGACGCACTGCCTCCCTAACAGACATGTTATAAAAGTCGACTGGTTAAGGGTGTTATCTTTGACTGCCTTAGAGGAGAGGAACAGTCTGCACACAAACAAGCAGATAAGATAGTTAAACAAAACTCAAGGTTCTCGAATACGACCATCTAAAGTGGACGAACAACCCAGACTTTCTCCTGGAGCTTACAGCCAAACAAACAACGTGTATAGAAGATAACTTGCGCCTTCTACAATGTGCAGACTGCTGAGGAAACATGAGTGAGCCTGGCGTGCAGTTTGTATGTCCGGAGATTGAGAGCTGGTTTTGACGCTGTCACATTGATTGGACGTGGGTGCGTGTGGGTGAGACCGCTGACATAGCCTGCAATACATTCACAGACATTGATTGGCACTTGTAAGGAGGATAAAAGTGTAAAATCCTATTGTAGCTTCGCTAAAATAATTAAGAATGGAAACATGAATTGTTTGGTGACTCTTAAATACTGTTTGATATCTCTTTGATATTGATAACATCTCTTATCTTGAATGGTATCAGAATACTGCTTCACGTCTCTTAACCGGCCTTTGATATCCCTTGTCTGAAATGTTATCAGAGTTCTGTTTGTCTTCAGGTTGAAAATGGAGTGTGAAAAACTGGCACAGGAGAAAACAGAGATGCAGAGGCACTATGTTATGGTAAGTTTTCTCCTGAACATGATCTTTAGTTATGTTGTTAATGTGCAGCTCGTCTGTAGTTAGCTGCAGTGGCATCCATCCATTACTGCAGAATCGAAACCCTTAATGTTCATTTTCTCTGTTTGATCAATGAAGAAAAGGATATTCTCCGCACACGCACACCCTCACCCCACCCCCCTCCTTTTTTTTTAAAACACACGCACAGGGGCGAGCATAATATAATTGTTGGAATGGGGCAAAGTAGGGTTCCTGTGTTCTGGTGAGTTATCCTCTGATGTGCTCATGACTCCTTGATCTTCTGTGGTCATCTGTAGTCTTCTGTAGTCATCTGTAGTCTTTTCACCTCACCCCCCTCCCCATGGATTACATTCCAGAACACAAACTTTATATATTTCTCAGTTATTTCTGGGTCAGTGGTTTAATCAGTACCAACCTGATCACCCATTACTTGACACAGCACACGTCCAACCAGAGAAGTGGTTTAATCAGTACCAACCTGATCACCCATTACTTGACACATCACACATCCAAACAGAGAAGTGGTTTAATCAGTACCAACCTGATCACCCATTACTTGACACAGCACACGTCCAAACAGACAAGTGGTTTAATCAGTACCAACCTGATCACCCATTACTTGACACAGCACACGTCCAACCAGACAAGTGGTTTAATCAGTACCAACCTGATCACCCATTACTTGACACATCACACATCCAAACAGAGAAGTGGTTTAATCAGTACCAACCTGATCACCCATTACTTGACACAGCACATGTCCAACCAGACAAGTGGTTTAATCAGTACCAACCTGATCACCCATTACTTGACACAGCACACGTCCAAACAGACAAGTGGTTTAATCAGTACCAACCTGATCACCCATTACTTGACACAGCACACGTCCAAACAGACAAGTGGTTTAATCAGTACCAACCTGATCACCCATTACTTGACACATCACACATCCAAACAGAGAAGTGGTTTAATCAGTACCAACCTGATCACCCATTACTTGACACAGCACACGTCCAAACAGAGAAACTGGTACATGACGTATACAGGAGTTTTGATAATCGGTTCTTTTCTGCAGTTTCAGCACATCTTGGGTCTCCCGAGATTTGGCAAGGAAATCCCCAGAACATAATATGGGGAGTTGGGGCTGGTGTTAAATAAATATCTACTGCGCCCCCTCCCTCCCCCTTTTCCCCAACCCTGATCCTATTGGACGTTCTGGTGATTTCCCTGCCAAATCTCAAGGACACCAAGCTGTGGTAAAATAAACGAACCAGATCATTTACTAGATCCCTTGTCAGGAGCAAGTCATGGATATGTCCAGATTCCTTGTCAGGAGCAAGTCATGGATATGTCCAGATCCCTTGTCAGGAACAAGCCATGAATATGTCCAGATCCCTTGTCAGGAACAAGTCATGAATATGTCCAGATCCCTTGTCAGGAACAAGTCATGAATATGTCCAGATCCCTTGTCAGGAACAAGTCATGAATATGTCCAGATCCCTTGTCAGGAACAAGTCATGAATATGTCCAGATCCCTTGTCAGGAACAAGTCAGGAATATGTCCAGATCCCTTGTCAGGAACAAGTCATGAATATGTCCAGATCCCTTGTCAGGAACAAGTCATGAATATGTCCAGATCCCTTGTCAGGAACAAGTCATGAATATGTCCGGGGCATGCAGGTGTGCAGGGCAGTGAACAGGCAGATAGATTGTTGCTTTTTTCGTCAGAGTGGTGAGCTAATTTAAAATGAAGTGTTCATGGGGATTGAGTGTATTGTGCAGGAGTACACACAACATATCCATACCTTGTGAAACTGGCGCGGTGAGGAGTAAGCAGAGGGTGTGGTCCGGATGACACTAAACACACAGTCCAGTCTGGATGACACTTTACTCATGGTCTGAATGACATTAAACCTCCCATCTTGGATGACACTGAACTGACAGTCTGGATGACACCAACTCATGGTCTGAATGACACCAATTCATGATCTTGATGACACCAACTCATGGTCTGGATGACACCAATTCATGATCTGGATGACACCAACTCATGATCTGGGTGACACTAATCTCATGGTCTGGATAACACTAAATCCACAGTATGGATGACACGAAACCCATAGTCTGGATGAATAAAAAAAAATAAAATAAAATAGATGGAGCCCCTGTGGGATATAGTTTTAGGTTAATTCAATCATCTTTACTCTTATATGTGACTGTTTGGTCAGTGCCTGATCTGGCTGTTTGGTCAGTGCCTGATCTGGCTGTTTGGTCAGTGCCTGATCTGGCTGTTTGGTCAGTGCCTGATCTGGCTGTTTGGTCAGTGCAGGATCTGGCTGCTTGGTCAGTGCAGGATCTGGCTGTTTGGTCGGTGCAGGATCTGGCTATTAGGTCAGTGCAGGATCTGGCTGTTTGGTCAGTGCAGGATCTGGCTGTTTGGTCGGTGCAGGATCTGGCTGCTTGGTCGGTGCAAGATCTGGCTGTTTGGTCAGTGCAGGATCTGGCTGTTTGGTCAGTGCAGGATCTGGCTGTTTGGTCAGTGCAGGATCTGGCTGCTTGGTCGGTGCAGGATCTGGCTGTTTGGTCAGTGCAGGATCTGGCTGTTTGGTCAGTGCAGGATCTGGCTGCTTGGTCAGTGCAGGATCTGGCTGTTTGGTCGGTGCAGGATCTGGCTGCTTGGTCATTGCAGGATCTGGCTGCTTGGTCAGTGCAGGATCTGGGTCAGTGCAGGATCTGGCTATTTGGTCAGTGCATGATCTGGCTGTTTGGTCAGTGCAGGATCTGGCTATTTGGTCAGTGCAGGATCTGGCTATTTGGTCAGTGCAGGATCTGGCTGTTTGATCAGTGCAGGATCTGGCTGCTTGGTCAGTGCCAGATCTAGCTGTTTGGTCGGTGCAGACTGTTCTTTCAGAAGAAGCCTTGCTGAAGTCAACTTTTGTATCTGTGGCTTGTTAGATTTTACAGTGAGTTTTCTGTTGAGTAGATAGCCTGTCATTCACAAAACATCATAAACTGTTTCAAATAGATGATGATAGAGTAGAGAGAATGATGCAGCAAGGAGAAACACTGTGACTGGCTGACACTGTAGAGAGAATGATGCAGCAAGGAGAAACAATGTGACTGGCTGACACTGTAGAGAGAATGATGCAGCCAGGAGAAACACTGTGACTGGCCTACACTGTAGAGAGAATGATGCAGCCAGGAGAAACACTGTGACTGGCTGACACTGTAGAGAGAATGATGCAGCAAGGAGAAACAATGTGACTGACTGGCTGACATTGTAGAGAGAATGATGCAGCCAGGAGAAACAATGTGACTGACTGGCTGACACTGTAGAGAGAATGATGCAGCAAGGAGAAACAATGTGACTGGCTGACACTGTAGAGAGAATGATGCAGCAAGGAGAAACAATGTGACTGGCTGACACTGTAGAGAGAATGATGCAGCGAGGAGAAACAATGTGACTGACTGGCTGACACTGTAGAGAGAATGATGCAGCAAGGAGAAACACTGTGACTGGCTGACACTGTAGAGAGAATGATGCAGCAAGGAGAAACACTGTGACTGGCTGACACTGTAGAGAGAATGATGCAGCAAGGAGAAACACTGTGACTGGCTGACACTGTAGAGAGAATGATGCAGCAAGGAGAAACAATGTGACTGGCTGACACTGTAAGAGAGAATGATGCAGCAAGGAGAAACAATGTGACTGGCTGACACTGTAAGAGAGAATGATGCAGCAAGGAGAAACAATGTGACTGGCTGACACTGTAGAGAGAATGATGCAGCAAGGAGAAACAATGTGACTGACTGGCTGACACTGTAGAGAGAATGATGCAGCAAGGAGAAACACTGTGACTGGCTGACACTGTAGAGAGAATGATGCAGCAAGGAGAAACAATGTGACTGGCTGACACTGTAGAGAGAATGATGCAGCCAGGAGAAACAATGTGACTGACTGGCTGACACTGTAGAGAGAATGATGCAGCCAGGAGAAACAATGTGACTGGCTGACACTGTACACTCAGAGGAAGGCAAAACGGATGTATAGACTGCTATGGTATTGTCAGCATTAGAGCGCTTTGTTGGCTGCTAAAGATGAGGACAGAGCAACGGTGTGAATATCCTGAGTGCTGTAATGTTACTTCTTAGCTTAGCAACACCCAAACCTCCTTATTGCCTCTGCTGTGTAAAAAAACCTCTTAAACTCCCCTTGGGACCTGACAGTGCACATGGGTTGTATAGTAACACTGCTCTGTCTGTTGATATCATTAATCTTCTGGTATCAGGAAACGTGAATAAATCCTTTTTGATAAAGGGATTTCCCCGGCCAGAAAAAAGAACAACTGTTGCTAATAGCCTTTCTAGTTCATATTTGATGCAGCCGGCTTTCAGCATGTCCTCGGGATTAGATTGGATTATTATTCTGTTGCCAGACTGGTTGGATAATGGATAGTCGGCTGGGTCCAGATTCAGTTTGGAGGCTTGCTAACTGGGACATGTTTGTTTTTGCACCTGTACTGCCCGGACAGATAGAGCAGTTCTTTTTACTAGCGAAACATCTTGGGTGTTAATCCGTGCAGACCTCTAGCTTGTCCTCGTGTGTTTCCTGCAAGGTGTTTTTATTGCCTGCTCCACTTGCCAACTAGTCTTTCTCGTGCAGTTCCGTATCCGGTATGCTTTTTCTACTAGTTAGTATCTGTCTTGTGGGCATCACAAAGTTAGTTATGTTCTACTGTCACATTACGTCTTTTGTCTAGTATTTTCCCCACATACATCTTTCTCCTTATCTCTTTACTTCTCTTGTCTGGTAATTCCCCCCCCCCCCCCACCCACATTTGCTCTTCTCTCTTGTCTAGTATTTTCCCATATGCGATTTTCTATTTACTTTTACTTCTCCTGTCCAGTATTTTCCCACATACATCTTCTCTTCTCTCTTGTCTAATATCCACACACACACATCACACACCAACCGATCACACACCAACCGCATACTAAATCTGCGACAGGACACTGTGGAAAGAGGCAGTGGGTCGCCACAGATCAAAGAATGGAAGTTTAGAACTGGCGACACCAGGGTTTGTGAATAAATGCCCGCTTTCACGCCTGGCCACCCCAGACAACCTGGTTTAGGGCTAATGGGGAAACAGTTGCGCCTCAGTCGCTAGGCTGGTTTTCACAGGTAGAGGGCCGCCATTCTCTGTTATTGTTACCTGCATTCTCACACCTGGCTTGTCGGCAACCACGTGTAATGGGAAGTGGCATGGCGGCACCTGGTTGTTTTATCGATTTTAAATAGAGGGGGAAAGTTGATTGACGGCGTGTTTTGGACTAACATAATAAGAGGGCGAGTCGTGGGTTATTTTGCAGCCACTGCAGAAGAAAATATGGACTGAGAGCTAAAATGTGACCCGATAGAACAATTCCTAGAATACTATGGAGCTTTGAAAGGACATTTTTTTTTCAAGTATCAAGAAGCCACGAGTTGTTAACCCTTAGGCTTGGTATTATGGATATCGTAACCCTTCGGCCTTGATTCCATGATAAATACCGTATATCTGGGAGAAATGTGGCTTTTCTGCCTACCCCCGGGCGTGAACCCGGACCACAAGGAGTTCGTCACCCGGTCACCGCGCAATCCGGTTAGCCATTTACGCTAGAGAGCCAGGCTGAGAAGACATATAAAGTGACACCTCAGGTCACCAACCTAATTCTTATGTTCAGTCATTCTTTTTTTCTTTGTTTCATATAATACGCTTAGGCTTCTTTAAACCACTAAAACTCAACTTTCTTGGGAGCCATAATGAGGATTAGTCTTGTCTTGTCCACAATTGCCTCAGCGTAGTGGGGAGTCGCAGTTTTCTATCCTGGGCCAGGTGTGTTGCACGTGTTGTTGTTAGTCCGTGTTGCCTCAGGATCTCTGATATATTGTCTATCCATCGTACTCTCGGTCTGCCTCTTGCTCTAGGGCAGTAGTGCCGTTCGTGAGGGTTAGTTTAATGCAGAAAGTAACAAAAACAACAAATGTATCAAGAACAACGCAACAACAAACACAGCGCCGAAAACATGACGTCAAAGCCGTGGTTGTGCGTTCGTGGCCCGAGCCATTCTTCACTGGTCGGATCGAAATGTGTTTATGGGCCGATTTATTTGTGACTGCCGTAGAGTCGTTGGTGACCCGAGGTACCACTGTACCGGATCTGAGCATCAAATAAAACTGTGACTCGTCAATAGCGTCACATCTCGGAAACAGCAGTATTAGGTGTCTGTAGTTGTTTGCGGGCTCACCCATGCCTGATATCCCGCACCGTGGCATCTTGTTGCACAAACAACCCACGTTCACTGTCCATGTCTGCCCCAGGCTTTGTGCTAGGAGGAGCCAGAACTTCATCCCTGGCCATCTCCACTCAGGCTTTGTGCCAGGAAGAGCCAGAACTTCATCCCTAGCCATCTCCACCCAGGCTTTGTGCTAGGAGGAGCCAGAACTTCATCCCTAGCCATCTCCACCCAGGCTTTGTGCTAGGAGGAGCCAGAACTTCATCCCTGGCTATCTTCACCCAGGTTTTGTGCCAGGAAGAGCCAGAACTTCATCCCTGGCTATCTTCACCCAGGTTTTGTGCCAGGAAGAGCTAGAACTTCATCCCTGGCTATCTTCACCCAGGTTTTGTGCCAGGAAGAGCCGGAACTTCATCCCTGGCCATCTCCATGGGCTGCGATTTACATGTCTCTCTAAAGCGCATCATAACATTGTCGTCGGCAACGATGGCCAGATGCCAACAGAGTAGACAGCACGGTTCCAACACAGTAGACAGCATGGTTCCAACAGAGTAGACAGCATGGTTCCAACAACAAAGTAGACAGCATGGTTCCAACAACAGAGTAGACAGCATGGTTCCAACAGATTAGACAGCATGGTTCCAACAACAGAGTAGACAGTATGATTCCAACAACAGAGTAGACAGTATGATTCCAACAACAGAGTAGACAGCATGGTTCCAACAACAGAGTAGACAGCATGGTTCCAACAGAGTAGACAGCATGGTTCCAACAACAGAGTAGACAGCATGGTTCCAACAACAGAGTAGACAACATGGTGCCAACAACAGAGTAGACGGTATGATTCCAACAACAGAGTAGACAGCACGGTTCCTGGAGGAAGGGTATTGACTGGCCACGAATATGTATAGATACTAGGACACAATAAGTCTGACAGTGCAGACATGACCTAGCATTGTTTTTGCTTTGTTATTTCAGTACTACGAGATGTCATATGGGCTGAACGTTGAAATGCACAAACAGGTAAATATTGTCCTCATTGTAAACGTTTGTATTAGGTTTAGAGTTTGTATTAGTGTTTGAGTTTGTATTGGTGTTAGAGTTTGTATTAGTTTTAGAGTTTGTATTAGTGTTTGAGTTCGTATTAGAGTCTGTATTAGAGTTTGTATTAGTGATTGAGTTCGTATTAGAGTCTGTATTAGTGTTTGTATTAGAGTTTGTATTAGTGTTTGTTACAGTTTGTATTAGTGTTTGTTTCAGTTTGTATTAGTGTTTGAGTGTGTATTAGTGTTTGTTAGAGTTTGTATTAGTGTTAGAGTTTGTATTAGTGTTAGAGTTTGTATTGGTATAGTGCTCACTTGTTGTCTGGATGTAAACAGCTGTAAAGTATATTCTTGTGTGTTGATCGCTAAATTGTCGTATCTATGTAAACAACTTTTAAAATATATTCTTGTGTTACGTTGTCAAGTTGTCTCTTTGTAAACAGCAGTAACAGTCTGTTCTTGTCCGACATTGCTCAGTTACCATCTGTGTAAACAGCAGTAACAGTCTGTTTTTGTCCGACATTGCTCAGTTACCATCTGTGTAAACAACAGTAACAGTCTGTTCTTGTCTGACATTGCTCAGTTACCATCTGTGTAAATGTTTTGGACACTGTCCAACGGCTGACCACTGCGGACATGTTGCTGCAACATGTGCTGGTACAGACATTGAAGATGATCTGTTGATTGTAACACCATGTTGTGTTAAAGCACACTTGTGATCTTGTCCTGGCTGCGACACTTGATAGACCCACGGACAGGTGGCTTTGTGAAGCGTTTTCAGTCGCATATTTGTATCTCTTTCTCTGGACTGATGACGTATTGGCCTCAGAGGGTCACACACTCTGTAGGTACATACTTGTGAGCGACCTATTGACCTCAGAGGGACACACACCCTGGCGGTACACACTTGTGAGCGACCTATTGACCTCACAGGGACACACACCCTGTAGGTACATACTTGTGAGTGACCTATTGACCTCAGAGGGACACACACACACACACCCGGTAGGTACATACTTGTGAGCGACCTATTGACCTCAGAGGGACACAGACCCTGTAGGTACATACTTGTGAGTGATCTATTGACCTCAGAGGGACACACCCTGTAGGTACATACTTGTGCGTGACCTATTGACCTCACAGGGACACAGACCCGGTAGGTACCTACTTGTGAGTGACCTATTGACCTCACAGGGACACAGACCCGGTAGGTACATACTTGTGAGTGACCTATTGACCTCAGAGGGACACACACCCTGGCGGTACACACTTGTGAGCGACCTATTGACCTCACAGGGACACACACCCTGTAGGTACATACTTGTGAGTGACCTATTGACCTCACAGGGACACAGACCCGGTAGGTACATACTTGTGAGTGACCTATTGACCTCAGAGGGTCACAGACCCTGTAGGTACATACTTGTGAGTGACCTATTGACCTCAGAGGGTCACACACCCGGTAGGTACATACTTGTGAGCGACCTATTGACCTCAGAGGGTCACACACCCGGTAGGTACATACTTGTGAGCGACCTATTGACCTCAGAGGGACACAGACCCTGTAGGTACATACTTGTGAGTGACCTATTTACCTCAGAAAGAGACACACACACTCTGTAGGTACATACTTATGAGCAACCTATTGGTCTCAGGGTAGAAACTGAACAGTGTGTAGAGGTGAAGAACAGTGTGTAGAAGGCGAAGAACAGTGTGTAGAGGTGAAGAACAGTGTGTAGAAGGCGAAGAACAGTGTGTAGAAGGTGAAGAAAGTGTGTAGAAGGCGAAGAACAGTGTGTAGAAGGTGAAGAACAGTGTGTAGAAGGTGAAGAACAGTGTGTAGAAGGCGAAGAAAAGTGTGTAGAAGGTGAAAAACTGTGTAGAAGGCGAAGAACAGTGTGTAGAAGGTGAAGAACAGTGTGTAGAAGGTGAAGAACAGTGTGTAGAAGGTGAAGAACAGTGTGTAGAAGGTGAAGAACAGTGTGTAGAAGGTGAAGAACAGTGTGTAGAAGGTGAAGAACAGTGTGTAGAAGGCAAAGAACATTGTATAGAAGGCGAAGAACAGCGTGTATAAGGTGAAGAACAGTGTATAGAAGGCGAAGAACAGTGTGTAGAAGGTGAAGAACACTGTGTAGAAAGCGAAGAACAGTATGTTATTTGACAAAGTACGTCAGTAGAATCTGCTACCATAACAAAAAAGCCGTGTGGAACAGATGGTTGACAGTGCTGACCTCAATAATCAGCACTAACGAGTCATATCCTACGACTGTAGCCGAGGATGGTTGGTTATGGAAAGATCTGTCATGTTTTGGCTGCCGTTTTGTATGTGCGCATCTAGTTGTTTGTGGGCCGTTAATGTCTAACTGTTGCAACTGTTTGACACGTGATAGTCAGTACACTTTTAAAGGGTCGTTTTAAGTGCGAGATAAACGTGGACAGCCAGCGGTTACATAACCATCTTACTGTGGGGGAGTTCAGAGGTTCTTCGATACTCTTTCCATCATAGTGGTGACAGTCTGAGAGTTAATGCCCCCTTCATTACTCTTTCTACAAGAGTGGTGACAATCTGACGTTTCATGCCCCTTCAATACTCTTTCTTCAAGGGTGGTGACAATCTGACGTTTCATGCCCCTTCAATACTCTTTCTTCAAGAGTGGAGACAATCTGACGTTTCATACCCCCTTCAATACTCTTTCTACAATAGTGGTGACAATCTGACGTTTCATGCCCCCTTCAGTACTCTTTCTACAAGACTGGTGACAATCTGACGTTTCATGTGCCCTTCGGTACTCTTTCTACAAAAGTGGTGACAATCTGACGTTTCATGCCCCCTTCAATACTCTTTCTACAAGACTGGTGACAATCTGACGTTTCATGTGCCCTTCGGTACTCTTTCTACAAAAATGGTGACAATCTGACGTTTCATGCCCCCTTCAATACTCTTTCTACAATAGTGGTAACAATCTGCCGTTTCATGTGCCCTTCAGTACTCTTTCTACAAGAGTGGTGACAGTCTGACGTTTCTGTTTGGTCGGGAAAGTCTTTGTCCCGCGCCCTTATCAGGCATTGCGTTTGACTGTTAACGACTCGGTCTTGTCAAAGATTCACCAGCAAACCAACAAAAGCCTCTGACTGAGAGCTCTCTTTGCATAGTCTACCTACAGGCCATCTCTAGTAGAGGTTGTCAACCCATGTCGCTGACTGCCGTTAGGCGGTAGCCGCTTGCTGCCCCTTGTGACGTGAACACCAACGTGATGTCATGAGAACTGTATTGCTTCTGTCCACAGACGGAGATCGCCAAGCGCCTCAACGCCATCTGTGCCCAGGTCATACCGTTCTTGTCGCAAGAGGTAAGTGATCTCCCATGATTCACGTGTGAAGTGTCTTCTCCTCATCCTCGTTCGTTCGTTACTTTGTTCTTAAAAACGTTCCAACCTGCTGAAGTTTTCATTATGGTAGGGGTTTTATTTCTGGCCTTTCCCATTCGCCATGCAGGGACTATTGTTCAAAGATCAGGTAACCTACTGGCCTTGACCGGTCTTCAGCTCTCACTGGCTGACACAAGACGGACAGGCCCAACTAGAACCGGCCACCATTGTGACTGTGATGGGGTCTGACATGGGAGTCAAACCGTGCACACCACGGCGATGGTAGGCGACCAGCACACACGTGGACATCACAGACGCCGAAGCTAGGGGCTTAAGTTCCCACCCCCTGCTGCCATTTTAACCACCATTTTTTTTCACGTGGACTTCTAGTAATTTCTCCCTGTCTCTGTAGTAAGACCGGACGCCCGCGTGTATTGTTGCGCGCGTAAAAAAAACCCCCTTGGCAGTTGGAAATCGAAAAAGAGTAGCCTGACGGCAAAATTTGGAGTTCAAATGCTACCCAAGTATTTCAGGATCCTCGCCGGTGCAGCAGAGTTCGTGCACTGCATTGAGATTCGTCAGACAGGATTGAGTTAGAAGTAGAAAGTAGCACTTATGGGTTACACCCGTGTACCATAATGTTGCTCTGTTTAATATACTGCTCCTCACTCCTACGGGAGTCGCCGTGGCCGAGCGGCTAGACGCTCGCCGCGGATCGGAAGGTCGTGGGTTCGCTCCCTGGCGGAGCCGGACTTATTTCAAAAATGATCTTGGCTCCCAGGTCGACCCAGCCTTGAGTGGGTACCGGGAAAGTGAAGGCGGCCGGCGTGATACTGACCACATCACCCATCCTGTGCCGATTGGTCTATACAAATAAAGGTCTAGCCCTATATGGCGTGGAAAAGGGTCCTTTACTTTTTTTAATCTCACTCCTACTTACCACTACTACTGCTCCTTACTCATCCTCCTCCTACTACTACTACTCTTCTGCTGCAGCTATTCCTCACTCCTACTTACCACTACTACTGCTCCTTACTGCTCCTCCTCCTACTACTACTCTTCTGCTGCAGCTATTCCTCCTACTTACTGCTACTACTGCTCCTTACTGTTCCTCCTCCTCCTACTACTACTCTTCTGCTGCAGCTATTCCTCCTACTTACTGCTACTACTGCTTACTCATACAACTACTGCTGCTGCTACTATCACCTCTACTGCTCCATCACCACCACCTACAACAGGCCATGAGACAGGATAATAAGACATTAGACCCACTTGTAGCCTGCCATACGTAACCCACCCCCACTGGTGACCTACCACACCTAACGCACCCCCACTGGTGACCTACCACAGATAACGCACCCCCACTGGTGACCTACCACACCTAACCCACCCCCACTGGTGACCTACCACAGATAACGCACCCCCACTGGTGACCTACCACAGATAACGCACCCCCACTGGTGACCTACCACACCTAACGCACCCCCACTGGTGACCTACCACAGATAACGCACCCCCACTGGTGACCTACCACACCTAACGCACCCCCACTGGTGACCTACTACAGATAACCCACCCCCACTGGTGACCTACCACATATAACCCACCCCCACTGGTGACCTACCACACATAACCCACCCCCACTGGTGACCTACCACACATAACCCACCCCCACTGGTGACCTACCACACATAACCCACCCCCACTGGTGACCTACCACACATAACCCACCCCCACTGGTGACCTACCACATATAACCCACCCCCACTGGTGACCTACCACACATAACCCACCCCCACTGGTGACCTACCACACATAACCCACCCCCACTGGTGACCTACCACACATAACCCACCCCCACTGGTGACCTACCACACCTAACGCACCCCCACTGGTGACCTACCACACATAACCCACCCCCACTGGTGACCTACCACACCTAACGCACCCCACTGGTGACCTACCACAGATAACCCACCCCCACTGGTGACCTACCACATATAACCCACCTCCATTGGTGATCTACCACACATAACCCACCACCACTGGTGAACTACCACACACAACCCACCTCCACTGGTGACCTACCACATATAACCCACCTCCACTGGTGACCTACTACACATAACCCACCTCCACTGGTGACCTATAACATATAACCCACCCCCACTGGTGACCTACCACACATAACCCACCCCCACTAGTAACCTACCACATATAACCCACCTCCACTGGTGACCTACCACACATAACCCACCCCCACTGGTGACCTACCACATATAACCCACCTCCACTGGTGACCTACCACACATAACCCACCACCACTTGTGACCTACCACACACAACCCACCTCCACTGGTGACCTACCACACATAACCAACCTCCACTGCTGACCTACCACACATAACCCACCTCCACTGGTGACCTACCACACATAACCCACCCCCACTGGTGACCTACGACACATAACCCACCCCCACTGGTGACCTACGACACATAACCCACCCCCACTGGTGACCTACCACACATAACCCACCCCCACTGGTGACCTACCACACATAACCCACCTCTACTGGTGACCTACCACACATAACCCACCCCCCACTGGTGACCTACCACACATAACCGACCCCCACTGGTGACCTACCACACATAACCCACCTCCACTGGTGACCTACCACACATAACCCACCCCCACTGGTGACCTACCACACATAACCCACCCCCACTGGTGACCTAACACACATAACCCACCTCCACTGGTGACGTACCGCACTACCCCACCTCTACTGGTGACCTACCACACTAACCCACCCCCAATTGTGATAATTGCTATCCACAGCACCAACAACAGGTGGCGGCGGCGGTAGAGCGGGCCAAGCAGGTGACCATGCAGGAGCTTAACGCCATTATAGGGGTATGTAGAAGCTGCGTGTACTTGTACCTCTTCTTCCCTGCCATTGGTCTGGGAGTAATGAAGTAACTTCCTCCTCCCCCCCCCCCCCGAATAATTTGTGATGTTTCCTTGAAGTCATAATGTACAATGCGTCTGCCTCAGTGACGAGGAACCCGCATACAAGTTAAGCGGACCTGAAACATGGATGTGTACGCAAGATTCAAATTTAAGACCAGTGAACAAAACTGGACAAACAACCAGAACTTTCCGCTGGAGCTTACAACCGTTGAACGCTAAGATGGATTGTTCTTCTATCTCGGCACTCTGTCCAGCTGTCTCGGCACTCTGTCCATGGCACTGGCCTGTTGTCTCGGCACTCTGTTCAGCTGTCTCGGCACTCTGTCCAGGGCACTGGCCTGCTGTCTCGGCACTCTGTCCACGGCACTAACCTGCTGTCTCGGCACTCTGTCCAGGGCACTGACCTGCTGTCTCGGCACTCTGTCCAGGGCACTAGCCTGCTGTCTCGGCACTCTGTCCAGGGCACTGACCTGCTGTCTCGGCACTCTGTCCAGGGCACTGGCCTGCTGTCTCGGCACTCTGTCCAGGGCACTGACCTGCTGTCTCGGCACTCTGTCCAGGGCACTGGCCTGCTGTCTCGGCACTAGCCTGCTGTCTCGGCACTCTGTCCAGGGCACTAGCCTGCTGTCTCGGCACTCTGTCCAGGGCACTGGCCTGCTATCTCGGCACTCTGTCCAGGGCACTGGCATGCTGTCTCGGCACTCTGTCCAGGGCACTGACCTGCTCTCTCGGCACTCTGTCCAGGGCACTGGCCTGCCTATCTCGGCACTCTGTCCTCGGCACTGTGTCACAGGCACTGACCTGCTGTCTCGGCACTCTCGGGCACTCTGCTGTCAGGGCACTGTCCAGGGCACTGACCTGCTGTCTCGGCACTCTGTCCAGGGCACTGACCTGCTGTCTCGGTGACTAGATAGACAACGCAGGAACCAGCACCCACCTCTCCCCTCCCCAGAAATGTGTTTGTTTCGAATTCGCTCGTGATCCGGAGGACAATCCTGTCTCTGAAAATAGGTTCTAGAAAGTGTTCAGGTGGCTGCAGGCACAACGAGACGCCGGACACGCAGTACTATTCTGTAGACTAAGGTTCTAGAAAGTGTTCAGGTGGCTGCAGGCACAACAGAGACGCCAGACACGCAGTACTATTCTGTAGACTAAGGTTCTAGAAAGTGTTCAGGTGGCTGCAGGCACAACAGAGACACCACACACGCAGTACTATTCTGTAGACTAAGGTTCTAGAAAGTGTTCAGGTGGCTGCAGGCACAACAGAGACGCCAGACACGCAGTACTATTCTGTAGACTAAGGTTCTAGAAAGTGTTCAGGTGGCTGCAGGCACAACAGAGACGCCACACACGCAGTACTATTCTGTAGACTAAGGTTCTAGAAAGTGTTCAGGTGGCTGCAGGCACAACAGAGACGCCACACACGCAGTACTATTCTGAAGACTTAGGATATAGTCGAGGTCACTACCTGCTGCGTCATCACAGTTCTCCGATTGCAAACGGCAGGCTGGATTTGGTCTCGTCTGCCTCATTTGTCTGCCCTATTTCACCATGTTCTGTGAGTGAAATCAGAGTCTGCATATATGTTAATCTGCTGCCTGTGATGGTCTAAGGCAGCCCCACATGTTCCTACTACCACAAGAAATGCCGCTGCAGCGACCATGCTCCCGGCCAAACACCCTACAACAACATTAAACACACTGGCATGAAAGCAGCTCCAATTTCGCCATTTTATCTTCAAAAAGTCCCCCGCATGCATAAAGGTCGAAGGTGAGTTGTTTCTTTCTTCTGCTCACGTGTTTTATCCGCACTGTCGTTTCAAAAGAGAAAAATAATGATACACTGACGCGGGAAATACGGGTGAGGGGATCAAGTATCTTCAGGAACCGTTTGCTTGACGTTGGCTCCCCGGCCACACCGCACCCGGCCACCCACCGTAGGAAAACTATGGCCAGTAACAGAGCTTTGAGAAGACAGCATGAACGGCTGGTGTAGTCAGGCCAGCAGGAAAACGTCATTAGAGATCAGAATGTCCTACTTTGGGGAGAAGGGCGTAGTGGAACAGTATACAGCTGCTTTGTACTTGAGGATAGAAGGTCAAGCTCTAGTGCGCTGTTGAAGAACTGTGGTCTCAGATAGCGACTCTAGTGCGCCGTTGAAGAACTGTGGTCTCAGATAGCGACTCTAGTGCGCCGTTGGAGAACTCTGCTCTTAGAGAGTTACTCTAGTTGAAGAACTGTGATCTCGAAATAGTGCGACTCTGGTCAGTGCGCCGTTGGAGAACTCTGCTCTTAGAGAGTTACTCTAGTGCGCTGCTGGAGAACTGTGATTTCAGAGAGCGACTCTAGTGCGCCGTTGGAGAACTCTGGTCTCAGATAACGACTGTGGTGCGCTGTTGGACAACTGTGATCTTAGAGAGCGACTGTAGTGCACTGCTGGAGAACTGTAATCTTAGAGAGCTACTCTAGTGCGCTGCTGGAGAACTGTGATCTTAGAGAGTTACTCTAGTGCACTGCTGTAGAACTGTGATCTTAGAGAGTTACTCTAGTGCTCTGTTGGAGAACTGTGATCTTAGAGAGTTACTCTAGTGCGCTGCTGGAGAACTGTGATCTTAGAGAGTTACTCTAGTGCGCTGTTGTAGAACTGATCTTAGAGAGTTACTCTAGTGCGCTGCTGTAGAACTGTGATCTTAGAGAGTTACTCTAGTGTGCTGTTGTAGAACTGTGATCTTAGAGAGTTACTCTAGTGCGCTGCTGTAGAACTGTGATCTTAGAGAGTTACTCTAGTGCACTGCTGTAGAACTGTGATCTTAGAGAGTTACTCTAGTGCGCTGTTGTAGAACTGTGATCTTAGAGAGTTACTCTAGTGCACTGTTGTAGAACTGTGATCTTAGAGAGTTACTCTAGTGTGCTGTTGGAGAGACTGTGATCTACTCTAGTGCGCTGTTGTAGAACTGTGATCTTAGAGAGTTACTCTAGTGCACTGTTGTAGAACTGTGATCTTAGAGAGTTACTCTAGTGCACTGTTGTAGAACTGTGATCTTAGAGAGTTACTCTAGTGCACTGTTGGAGAACTGTGATCTTAGAGAGTTACTCTAGTGCTCTGTTGGAGAACTGTGATCTTAGAGAGTTACTCTAGTGCGCTGTTGGAGAACTGTGATCTTAGAGAGTTACTCTAGTGCACTGTTGGAGAACTGTGATCTTAGAGAGTTACTCTAGTGCACTGCTGTAGAACTGTGATCTTAGAGAGTTACTCTAGTGCGCTGTGCGCTGTTGTAGAACTGTGATCTTAGAGAGTTACTCTAGTGCACTGTTGTAGAACTGTGATCTTAGAGAGTTACTCTAGTGCGCTGTTGGAGAACTGTGATCTTAGAGAGTTACTCTAGTGCGCTGTTGTAGAACTGTGATCTTAGAGAGTTACTCTAGTGCGCTGTTGTAGAACTGTGATCTTAGAGAGTTACTCTAGTGCGCTGTTGGAGAACTGTGATCTTAGAGAGTTACTCTAGTGCGCTGTTGTAGAACTGATCTTAGAGAGTTACTCTAGTGCGCTGCTGTAGAACTGTGATCTTAGAGAGTTACTCTAGTGCGCTGTTGTAGAACTGTGATCTTAGAGAGTTACTCTAGTGCGCTGCTGTAGAACTGTGATCTTAGAGAGTTACTCTAGTGCGCTGTTGTAGAACTGTGATCTTAGAGAGTTACTCTAGTGCGCTGTTGTAGAACTGTGATCTTAGAGAGTTACTCTAGTGCGCTGTTGTAGAACTGTGATCTTAGAGAGTTACTCTAGTGCGCTGTTGTGTAGAACTGTGATCTTAGAGAGTTACTCTAGTGCGCTGCTGTAGAAAACTGTGATCTTAGAGAGTTACTCTAGTGCGCTGTTGTAGAACTGTGATCTTAGAGAGTTACTCTAGTGCGCTGTTGTAGAACTGTGATCTTAGAGAGTTACTCTAGTGCGCTGTGCGCTGTAGAACTGTGATCTTAGAGAGTTACTCTAGTGCACTGTTGTAGAACTGTGATCTTAGAGAGTTACTCTAGTGCGCTGTTGTAGAACTGTGATCTTAGAGAGTGACTCTAGTGCGCTGTTGTAGAACTGTGATCTTAGAGAGTTACTCTAGTGTGCTGTTGTAGAACTGTGATCTTAGAGAGTTACTCTAGTGCGCTGTTGTAGAACTGTGATCTTAGAGAGTTACTCTAGTGCGAGTTACTCTAGAGTTACTCTAGTAGAACTGTAGATGTGATCTTAGAGAGTTACTCTAGTGCTAGTGTGCTGTTGATAGAACTGTGATCTTAGAGAGCGACTTTAGTGCGCTGTTGTAGAACTGTGATCTTAGAGAGCGACTCTAGTGCGCTGCTGGAGAACTGTGATCTTAGAGAGTTGCTCTAGTGTGCTGCTGTAGAACTGTGATCTTAGAGAGTTACTCTAGTGTGCTGTTGTAGAACTGTGATCTTAGAGAGTTACTCTAGTGTGCTGTTGGAGAACTGTGATCTTAGAGAGTTTTGTACTCTAGTGCGCTGTTGTTTGTAGAACTGATCTTAGAGAGTGGTCTAGTGAAAGAACTGTGATCTTAGAGAGTTACTCTCTAGAACTGTGATCTTAGAGAGTAACTCTAGTTGCTGTTGAACTGTGGTCTTAGAGAGTTACTCTAGTGTTAGACCTGTGATCTTAAGAGTTACTCTAGTGTGCTGTGAAACTGTGAATTTCTATCATTGTTGTAGAGTTTTAGAGAGTTACTTAGTGTGCTGTTCTAGAACTGTGATCTTAGAGACAGTTAGTGGTGTTGTAGAACTGTGATCTTGGGACGAGTCTAGTGCGCTGCTGGAGGCACTGCTCTAGTGTGTGTTGCTGTATTCCGGTTCGGATTGATCGAACTCTAGTGTCTTTGGAGAACTGTGATCTGAGAGTTACTCTAGTAAATGTTTGTCAACTCTTGAAAGCTGCTGCTTTCATGCCACTTACATGGCAATCGTGTTAGAACTTAACGGCGTGATTTAAAACAGATTCATTCAGAACACCGTTTACATAGCGTCACTTAAAACACCATTTACACAGCGTCAGTTAAAACACCATTTAAACAGCATCACTCAAAACACCGTTTATATAGCGTCACTTGAAACACCATTTACACGGCGTCAATTAAAACACCATTTAAACAGCATCATTCAAAACACCGTTTATATAGCGTCAGTTAAAACCATTTAAACAGCATCATTCAAAACACCGTTTATATAGCGTCAGTTAAAACACCATCACTTAAAACACTGTTTACATAGCGTCAGTTAAAACACCATCACTTAAAACACTGTTTACATAGCGTCAGTTAAAACACCATCACTTAAAACACTGTTTACATAGCGTCAGTTAAAACACCATCACTTAAAACACTGTTTACATAGCGTCAGTTAAAACACCATCACTTAAAACACTGTTTACATAGCGTCAGTTAAAACACCAGCACTTAGAACACTGTTTACATAGCGTCAGTTAAAACACCATTTACAGGGCGACATTTAAAACATCATTTAAACAGCATCACTTAAAACACTGTTTACATAGTGTCAGTTAAAACACCATTTACACGGCGACAGTTAAAACATCATTTAAACAGCATCACTTAAAACGCTGTTTACATAGCGTCAGTTAAAACGCTATTTATATAAAGAATAACCTGCCTTTAGGAGGCGGAGAAATGGGTCCCTAAATTTGTGTGTCTTACCAACGTTCATGGGCACACGAGTGAGTTGCAGGGAGATAATTCGTGGCCGTGAATATCTTTCTGTCGAAGACGCCTTTGTTCTGGTTCTGTGCTTGGCCAGTTGAGTTCATCCAATCATGAGTTCATTGTGGGCACGTGACAAGTCTGGAACACACCCCTGGTGGTTGGGGGAACTGAGTATCGTATCCCGGAGCTACTTTATCGCGACAGTGTGGGGTGCAGGCACCCGGAGAAAACAGGTTGTGTGGGGCGCTGTCACGCTCGGCTGTTGAGAGAGAGAGAGAGAGAGAGAACGAACGAACGAACGAACGAACTTTATTTTCAAAGGGTCACAAATTGGGCACGCAGGCCCGTCTTACATTCGGTCCTTCCAAACACCCGTCTTTCACACTGCAGCTGTATTTTATCAATAAGCATGTTATATCAATATGATAAAATGCATATTATGAATATAAGAAAAGAGAGAAAAAAGAGAAAAAGCACAAAAGCATGAGTGGTAAAATGCATGCACACACACACCCACCCACTCACTTAAACACACCCACATACCTTCACACACACATAAACACACCCCATTCACCCACATACATACCTACATACCCACACAGACACGCACATTCCACACACAAACATACAGATATACACACACAGACACACCCATAGAAACAAATGCAGACACACAGAGACAGACATACGCGCACATACCCAATCACACACGCAGATACACACACAGACACACACACAAGCCGGCATACACACACACGCAGACACACACAGACACAAATGCACAAACACACGCAGACACATACACACACATATACACTAGGAGACACAAAAACACACACACACACAATCGCAGACACACACACACACGCTGATGCTCACGCAGACACGTACACGCAGACACACACATGCAGAAGCATACTCAGGCATTCATACACACAGGCACACGCACAGATACACGCACCCACATACACACACACGCAAACACATTCGCAGACATATATATACACAGGCACACACACATGTAGACACATCCAGAGACATCACACACAGAGATACACACAGACATATACACACATACACACACAGAGACATACACAGATATACACACACAGATACGCGCATATACACAAGCATTCACGCAGACACACACATACAGGCACATACAAAGACACACACACAAACACGACAGAGACACACACATACAAACACACACGCAGACAAACACACAGCCACATACACGTAGAACACACATACAAGCAAACACACACATAGACACATGTAGACACAGATACACATACAGACAGTCCTACACGCGCAAACACACACGTACACCCAAGCAAACAAACACAGACACACATGTATAGATACACACCCACAGACACACAGTACAAATATCCTTACACACGGAGACGTACGTATACACAGGCATTCACACCAACACACATATACACACATGCACATACCAACACACACACGCAACAAAGACACACACACAGCTACATACTTATTAGAACACACAGACACGCAAGCACATTTACAGGCACACGCAGACACACACAGATACACATGTAGACACATACACACACAGTCATTCACACACACGCACAAACACACACTCATACACAAACACACACACATACACAAACACACATATATAGATACACACACAGACATACAATACTAACACACGCAGACACAAAGATACACACAAACACAGACACATACACAGAGACGCACACGCAAACGCACAGGCAGTCATGCACACGTAGACACACTTGCATACATACACACAAACACAGACAATCGCTCACAGACATATACACACAGACACAGACACACAGAAGACACGCATGCAGACACTCACACACACATGACACACAGAAATATAACAAAGCGCACGCACACACAAACAAACACAACAGACACGTAGACACAGACACGCCTACACAGAGACATAATCACACACAATCCCACAGACACACACAGTCACACGCACATGTAGACATACAGGCTCACATACACGCATTCACGCAGCAATTTATACAATTACCGATACACACACTCATACATACACAAACACGCCTACACATACACACATACCCCCGTGTGGGTTCCGGGACCCATTGTGGGGAAAACAAGAATAGACCCACTGCCTCCCCAAAAGCATGTCGTAAGAGTCGACTAATTGGGGAGCTTCCTTTGAAGTCCGAGTGCATCTGCCGGAGAGGAGAGGAACCAACAGTCTGTATTCAAGAGAATGAGATCTGTAAAACTGATGCACACGCAACACTCAGGTTCTGGAGCAGGACTGCAGTTCAGTAGTGGACGAGCAACCAGAACCTTCCGCCAGAGTTTACAGCTGGCGAACGCGAAGAAGAAGAAGATACACACATACATACCACACATTTACGTGCCACACATATATACATATCGTTTACAGAGTATATATATATATATAATAATATATATATATATATATCTATATTGACACCCAGCAGGACTGCAGCCCCCGATCCCGCCGGCCTCAAGTGGGTCTGGATTTCTCGGCTTTGCTCAAGGAGTTTTCCACATGCCCCAGGGCCTGGCTGCTCTCAAAGAAGACAAAGGTGAGAATGCCAGATTTCCTCTGTAAAAAATCTGCTGAGACCAAATTGACATTGCCTGTGCGTGTTGTAAACAGTTTGCTTTGAGTTTTATGGTGCCTGTTCAACTTGTGATGAGTCGTTTGGTTTGATACTTGTGCTTCTGTCTTGTTTCTTCCTGTAGGGAGTTGGTGATGGTTGCGACAGAACCTGATTTTTTTTCCTCCAAAATATCGTTAATTTTTTACAATTTCTGTTGTTTTGTTTGGCTTTTCTGTTTACTTCTGTGATTTTGGCCCATATTTCCGTCTGTGTGAGAGTTAGCTGATTGGTTTTTCTCAGCAGACATGTCGCTCTGACTATCCATCTACCCATCTAACTACCCATCTACCCCTCTAACTACCTACCGTTCTGTCAGTCCAGGCATACATGTATCTATAATTATGCCCGGCTCTCTAGCGAAGTTAGTTAAACCTGACTTTCGCGGCGGCGGCCGGGTGACAAACTCTTTGTGGTCCGGGTTCACTCCCGGGGGTAGGCAGAAAAGCCACATTTCTCCCAGATTAACGGTACCTATAATGGAATCAAGGTCGAAGGGTTGCGATATCCATAGTACTGAGCCAAAGGGTTTACAACTCATGGTTTCTGGATACGTTAAAAAAAAAAAATCTATAATTATGTCTGTCATTTGATGGCTCTGTGTATCAGAGCTCAATGATAATTTATGTATCTGTCTCCTAGTTAGTGCATTTGTTTGTCTCTACCATATTGTCTAATATCCCCACCGAGTCTGGTATCAGGTGCCATCTCCTCAACAAAGGGCTGCCTGCAGTGCAGTCCTCAGCTCTGTGTCTTCTCCTGTTGTTGTTGACAATATTTCAGGCTATTTAATGTACTGTCTGATTTCTATTTTCTTGCTGTCATGATCTATAACGTGTCTAAGATCAGACAAACTTGTTTATAATGTCTGTGCTTGTATGTGAGAGCATGTATGTCTTTGTCTGTTGGTTAGTTGATTGGGTTTGGTGTAGCCCCCCCCCCTCCCCCCCCCCCCCATATTAACACCCTCTTTCTTAGACAGTTGTTGCTTTATAGTAATTTACATTTGGGTTTGAAGGCATTAAATTGAGTTCTTTATCTTCTTTGCATTTGGTTTCATATGTTCGGATCAGACCATCAGGTGGGTTGCCTCTATGAACTCCCGTGTCAGCAGCAGGTCCTTCATGTTTCCCCATAACTAGGCTCTGCACACTCTTGAGGCCAGGTTTTTCTTTTTTGTTTTACCTATAGTCGGCAGGCCTGCAGAATGTGCTCAGATGTTTGTGTATAATGTTTTCTATTGAGCCTGCGGTGTCCTGTTCTTAGAGGGACAATTGTTGTTTAATGTTTTCTGTTGAGTCTGTTGATAGATTAATTAAGGACCTCAAATATTAAATTGACAAAAGGTTGAATATTTAGTTAGTGTAGACTGGATAATGAGCGAAGAAGTCAGAGCTAAGATGGGTTTGATATATGGGGAAAGATGGGCCTACAACAACACTACACAGTTGTCTAACTACACACACATGCAAATATTTAACACAGTACAATTATTTGACACAGTTGTGTACTTGATAAAAACATAAGAAGGTTTGATGCAGTAGTGCACTCCACACATACAACTGTTTTGCCACAGTGCTGTACTCTACGCAGACCTACATACCATTGTGAACTCGAGACAGACATTAAGCAGGTGTGATTTGGTGTATGAGTGAAGATGTTGATTGTAAGCTGGAGCTGGCGCCTGGAATCAGATGAAATGTTTGATTCAGTCACAGACCCCAGAAAATGCTGTGCCACTCTCATCAGCCTAGGTGGACTTGTGGTGTTGTTTCTGCTTTCCATGGAAGCCTGCATCAAAATGCTGGCATTAATGTGGATTATGTTGTTTGTTTCAGGAGCTGATGAGAAGCATGTGAGTATATTCATTGTTCATCTGTGCAGTTTTTTCATCTCAGGTTTTTTTTTACACTACACTGACATATTTTTTATTTAAGGTATTTCCACTCTTTCATTGAAAGTTGATTTAGAAACATAAATATTCCTGAGATAAAGAATAAAAAGCCTTTAAAAAATATTTCTGCGATCATTTCTCTGTCTGTCTCTCTCAAGCAGACATGTACAGTCATTGTTTGTTTGTGTAACTGATTCTGGCTGTGCATTGTTTTGCCTTTATATTACTGGTTGCTCATTAGGAAAACAGACTGCAGCCTAGATCTGTCTGCCATAGAAAACTGTCTGAGGAAGGTCAGTATGGAACTGACTACCCCGTACCATAGAAAACTGTCTGAGGAAGGTCGGTATGGGACTGACTACCCCGTACCATAGAAAACTGTCTGAGGAAGGTCGGTATGGGACTGACTACCCCGTACCATAGAAAGTCTGAGGAAGGTCAGTATGGGACTGACTACCCCGTACCATAGTAAACTGACTGAGGAAGTTCGGTATAAGACTGACTACCCCGTACCATAGAAAACTGTCTGAGGAAGTTCGGTATAAGACTGACTACCCCGTACCATAGAAAACAGTCTGAGGAAGTTCGGTATAAGACTGACTACCCCGTACCATAGAAAACAGTCTGAGGAAGTTCGGTATAAGACTGACTACCCCGTACCATAGTAAACTGACTGAGGAAGTTCGGTATAAGACTGACTACCCCGTACCATAGAAAACAGTTTGAGGAAGTTCGGTATGGAACTGACTACCCCGTACCATAGAAAGTCTGAGGAAGTTCGGTATAAGACTGACTACCCCGTACCATAGAAACTCTGAGGAAGTTCGTTTTAAGACTGACTACCTCGTACCATAGAAAACTGTCTGAGGAAGTTCGTTTTAAGACTGACTACCTCGTACCATAGAAAACTGTCTGAGGAAGTTCGTTTTAAGACTGACTACCCCGTACCATAGAAAACTGTCTGAGGAAGGTCGGTATGGGACTGATTACCATAGAAAACTGTCTGAGGAAGGTCGGTATGGGACTGATTACCATAGAAAACTGAGCTACAGTGTGAATTCTTCTTTCCTGTTTTTTTTTGTTTTGTTGCCCTACTGCTTATGCCATAAGATTTACTTGCCTGTCGTTTGCTGGTTGCATAGCTTGTGTTAATGCCACATTGTGTTTCTGTAGTGTCTCTTTTACTCCACCTATCTCTTTCTTGATTCGTTCTTTTGTTTGTTCGGGTCTCTTGCCTTGTAGCCAGATGTTTTCATGTAGTACATACTAGCAGCTGGCTGATTTGGTTCCATTCTGACAATATCAATGTTTTTCAAAGGGCACTATGGGCTGGCTGAAAGTTTCTGATACATTACTGCTTCCTGTTGTTCTCATGGGTTGCTGGTTACTCAAGCATGTCAATTAGACAGGAGCAGATCCCTGAAAACACATTCCGCTGTATGACACAGGGCAGCCCTGCGTGAAATATTCATCTCTTCATTTCAGTGTGGGGATGAAGGGATAATGCTTGATTGGGTGAATGACTGACTGACTGATGTTCAAGCCCACTTGGACAAACGAACAAACTTTTTCTTTCAAAGGGTCACCAATTGATCATGCAGGCCCATCTTCCATTTAACCCTTTCAAGCACCCATCTTTCCCACATCTTTCTTTCACACATCTTTCACACATCTTTCAACATCATTCACACAGCAGTTGACCAAACAAAAAGTGTTAAACACCTGGTGAAACAAAATGCAACCATTTGGATGAGAATCACTTGGGCACAGTTTCCAGAAACCACTTTCAAGCCGTATGTTTAGGGCCCCTGACAACAGCCGGGATGGGTCTTTCAAATAACAAACAGTTCTTTCTGTCCCACATTGGGATGGGCATTATAGATAAATGATTCAGAGATGAAGAAGAAATAAAATATAGTTTTAGTATTGTTGCATTTGTTTGGAACCTGCACTGTCATCTGACTGACTGAGGTTCAACTCCACCAGGCCATCACACCGAGCGACAAACACAGGTGATACAAAGTGCCACCATTTGGATGAGGATCACCTGGTTTAGGTCCCAGAAACACTCTTCAACCCATGGGTTGGGTTAAATTAGGGTCCCCGGCAATAGCCAGGGTGGTGCTTTAACACAAATTATTATTATTCTGCACTGACATTGCAAGCTATTTTCCAGTAAAGGGTACAGGCCAACAACTCTTTCTGTGTCAATTCTCCTTTCCCCCTCCCTCCCACATACACATATACATGTTATGAGAAGGGGGGAAATGGAACATGTGACCACTGGAAAGATCTGTGGAGGAAGGGATAGGGGAAGACAACGAGAGAAGATGTTGCATGGCATAGAGGTGTGTCAGCACACCAACTGATACATGCTGCAGGAGATCGCGGATTGTGGAGAGGCATGATCGCCCACGCCAGTCGGCAAGGCACTTAATGATGATGATACATGTTTGAGCTCATTTCATAATTGTCAGTTGGCTGTAGCATGTTTACATTACCTGGCTTGTTTACATTGACATGAAGTCTGAGGTCTCTCCATTACAAGTTGTTTCCCTTGAGGGGATCATGGCGTCCGACATGCAGCAGACATTTCTCCTTGTGTACTCTTAATTATGATACGAACTTGAAGAGTTCCTCTCCTTTCACAAGAACTGTCTTTGTTTATTTATCATTGTCTCAGGCAATGAAACTAGTAATTATTTCTGTGTTGCTAAATAACACGTCTCTTCCCCAATCTTTTCTGTCTTGTAGCTTTAATAATCAGATTTTCAGCTGTGTCTTATCTCCCCTGTCACGAATGCTCCGGTCATTGTATCGTCATGTTTATTATGATGGGAACATAACATACTTAATAGATAAAAATACAATTGCTGTGTAAAAGATGAGTGTTTTGATGCGCAGAATGTGAGGCTGGCCTTTGTGCCAAATTTGTGACAGTTTGAAAATCAGTTTGTTCATTGATAAGATGAATGTGGGAACTCTATCAGGTCACTAGTTAGCCCACATTGTGAAACCAATGAGCATACTGCGCTTTTTTGCTGCAGGGACACTTTCCACCTTTCTGTTTCTGTTGCAAGATTCACGCTTGTCTCCATCAGCTTCATCCTTGGAGTCGTGTACCTCAGGTCTCTCTCTGTTTGTCTCAGTCTCTCTCTCTCTCTGTCTCAGTCTGTCTGTCTCTCTCTGTTTGTCTGTCTCAGTCTCTCTGTCTCTCTCTGTTTGTCTGTCTCAGTCTCTCTCTCTCAAGCTCTCTGTTTGTCTCGGTCTCTCTGTCTCTCTCTCTCTGTCTCTCTCTCTCAATCTGTCTGTCTTTTTCTTTGTCTCTCTCATTTGTCTCGGTTTCTCTGTCTTTCTCTGTCTCTCTCTCTCTCTCTGTGTCTCTCTGTATCTCTCAATATCTCTCTCTCTCTCTCTCTCAATCTCTCACTCACTCATTCACTCACTCAGACATCCCCCCATCATTTTCACTATAATGGTCTTGCCCCTGGCTCTCTAGACTGTCTAGAAGTATGTTTCCTTTTCACCATGACGGTCATGTATCTTGCAGCCCGTTTGATCTCCCGGAGTCTTCCATTATCCTTAGCCTTGTAAAATTAGACTTTGATTCTCTGTGCATTCGTTTGTATCCTTCTGTCTTTCTTGTTGCTGGCAGTCAGTGTCTCACAGTCTGGGTTTGTTTATTCCATGCAGTCATTGCCTAATTAGGATCTGACCACATGCACGCACGCACACGCACACACACACACACATCACCCACCACCATCATCACCACCACCACCTCCTCCTTCTCTCTCTCTCTCTCTCTCTCTCTCTTTCTCTCTCTTTCTCTCTCTCTCTCTCTCTCTCTCTCTCTCTCTCTGAATATCTTCCAGAACCTCTATGAATTCGGTTGCAGTCTTTTTGATGCCAGAGAGCCTTCACCATGTCCGTTTTGTTATAAAGTAGCTCACCACACAGAGGAACGACAGCAACTAATCTATCTGGCGTATGGTGGAGAGCATACAGTAAGCTAACCAAAGTGTTTTCAGGGGTCAGAGGTCAAGTTGGCATTGTCCATCTGCTTCCTAAGGTCACTATCAATATTCTCTCATTGTAAAGTGTAGTTTTAGCTGGTTTCCATGACTGGAGAGGTTGTCACTAGGTGCATTGTGGGTATGACACACACCTGACACTAGACTGGTGAGCATTTGACTGTCCCAACTGGTCAGGCATGGCACATGATGAGGGTGATTGTCCATAAATGTTCTCTTGTTCACTTCTCCTTTGAGAAGGCCAGGTGACAAGAGAAAGCATTAATTAAGCATGAACTGTTGCTGTTGTACTCGGGAACCATTGCTAAATATATCTCTTTAAATCTGCAACTGAATCTTTCAGAGACGTTCTGCTTCTCCTCTAGACAGAGACAAATACAGACACCGGAGTAGGACACCGGAACATAGTGAGCTGTCAAAGAAGAGACGGGCAGAAGAAAAGGCAGCAGTAAGTGTCAATAGCTGTTTTTTGTTTTTTTAATTTAGCTAGGTGACTTATGAAGCTGAGATAATGGAAATGGCAGATGACAAAAGCTATATTGTTGTGCTGTTGATGTCTGTGTGTGTGAGTTTGTGTATGTGTAAAACCATGATTCTTCATTTGTGACAGTTTTCAACAGATGGTGACAGTTAATCTTCATCTTCTTCCCTGTTCACTGATCGTAAACTGCAGCAGAAAGTTCTGGTTGCTGATCCACCTCTGGACTTTAATCTTGTTCCATAACTTGAGTGTTGTGTGCACATACATTATACAGAATCTGACTTGTTTATATGCAGATTGTTGGTTTCTTGCCCCTCAGGCAGATGCACTCCGATTTTGAAGAAAGCCCCCAATTAGTTAACTCCTAGGATATGCTTGTTGGAGAAGTACCAATCTGTTCTCGCTTTCTTCCACTGTGGGACCCAGGAACCCACACGGGACACAGGAACCCACACGGGGATGTCAGTTAATGTGCTGACATATTTTCCTGCTGTGACACAAGTGTCAAACATCTTCTATTATTTTCTCTAATTACACTCCTCCCCCCCCCCCCCCACACACACACACACACTTTCCCGATATTTATATATGATGTCTTTGTATCTTAACTTTGTTCAAAACATTCAGGACGACCCATTTTGACTGTCCAGTAATTTGTAAACATTCTGGTGTCAATTCATATCTTGGAGGCCTCAAGGAATTATCCCCCTTGTTAACGAATAGTCACAAATCCACAACCATCTGTGACAATGGTTCTGTTTCTAACTTCTAGTGACAAGGATTTTTTGCCTAGACATTCCATATTGGATCAGATACATGTTAACTAACATTCTGGTGTCAATTCATATCTTGGAGGCCTCAAGGAATTATCCCCCTTGTTAACGAATAGTCACAAATCCACAACCATCTGTGACAATGGTTCTGTTTCTAACTTCTAGTGACAAGGATTTTTTGCCTAGACATTCCATATTGGATCAGATACATGTTAACTTCTCCTACTCTGTGTGATCATTTTCCATCCGTTATCCATGTGTCTACATACTTCAGTTTCTGTACTTGCACGTGTTAACACACACAACACACTAGTGTTAGTCTGACTACATTGTATAGCTCATTTACAAGATTGATTTGCTGTCAGTATGTTTTCAGGGTTTTTTTAAATGACTGAGATTTTTAGCATGCATATCTCTTGCACTGGGTCCCCTGTGTCTTTTACTCTGGGTCTCCTGTGTATTTTACTCTGGGTCTCCTTCTCTTTCACTCTGGGTCTCCTGTGTCTTTTACTGTGGGTCTCCTGTGTCTTTCACTCTGGGTCTCCTGTGTCTTGCACTCTGGGTCTCCGGTGTCTTGCACTCTGGGTCTTCTGTGTCTTTCACTCTGGGTCTCCTGTGTCTTTCACTCTGGGTCTCCTGTGTCTTTCACTCTGGGTCTCCAGTGTCTTTCACTCTGGGTCTCTTGTGTCTTTCACTCTGGGTCTCCAGTGTCTTTCACTCTGGGTCTCTTGTGTCTTTCACTCTGGGTCTCCAGTGTCTTTCACAGGGTCTCCTGTGTCTTTCACTCTAGGTCTCCTGTGTCTTTCACTCTTGGTCTCCTGTGAATTTCACTGGGTCTCCTGTGTCTTTCACTCTGGGTCTCTTTGTGTCTTTCACTTGGGGTCTCCTGTGTTTCTCACTTGGGTCTCTTGTGTCTTGCACTCTGGGTCTCCTGTGTCTTGCACTCTGGGTCTCCTGTGTTTCTCACTTGGGTCTCCTATGTCTTGCACTCTGTGTCTCCTGTGTCTTTCACTGGGTCTCCTATGTCCTGCACTCTGGGTCTCCTATGTCTTGCACTCTGGGTCTCCTATATCTTGCACTCTGGGTCTCCTATGTCTTGTATTCTGGGTCTCCTATGTCTTTCACTGGGTTTCCTATGTCTTGGACTCAGGGTCTCCTGTGTTTCTCACTTGGGTCTCCTATGTCTTTCACTGGGTCTCCTGTGTTTCTCACTTGGGTCTCCTGTGTCTTTCACTGGGTCTCCTATGTCTTTCACTGGGTCTCCTGTGTCTTGCACTCTGTGTCTCCAATGTCTTGCACTCTGGGTCTCCTATTTCTTGCACTCTGTGTCTCCAGTGTTTCTCACTTGGGTCTCCTATGTCTTGCACTCTAGGTCTCCTGTGTCTTTCACTGGGTCTCCTATGTCTTGCACTCTGGGTCTCCTGTGTCTTTCACTGGGTCTCCTATGTCTTGCACTCTGGGTCTCTTTGTGTCTTTCACTTTGGGTCTCCTGTGTTTCTCACTTGGGTCTCTTGTGTCTTGCACTCTGGGTCTCCTGTGTCTTGCACTCTGTGTCTCCAGTGTTTCTCACTTGGGTCTCCTATGTCTTGCACTCTGTGTCTCCAGTGTTTCTCACTTGGGTCTCCTATGTCTTGCACTCTGGGTCTCCTGTGTCTTTCACTGGGTCTCCTGTGTCTTTCACAGGGTCTCCTATGTCTTTCACTGGGTCTCCTATGTCTTTCACTGGGTCTCCTATGTCTTGCACTCTGTGTCTCCAGTGTTTCTCACTTGGGTCTCCTATGTCTTGCACTCTAGGTCTCCTATGTCTTTCAAACTGTCTCCTATGTCTTGCACTCCGGGGGCAGTTCATGTTAGAAACTGGTGATTCTTGTAAAACGTTTCCAACCCTCAGCTTGGATTTGAACCCAACAGCTGAAACTTTTCAGCCATGTTGCATGCATAATGAAGAGTATCTATGCCATGTCCTATGTAGTTCACAGCATATACTTGATTTCTTTGATTCAGGGTGTGACTTTCAGTTTCACATATGAGGCACATCTACTTTCTTTTCTTTCTCTCAAACATTTAGTTCTTTATCTTCTTTGCATTTGGTTTCATATGCTCAGATCAGACCATCAGGTGGGCTGCCTCTATGAACTCACATGTCAGCAGCAGGTCCTTCAAAGTTCACCATAACCTGCTCTGCACACTTTGCTCTTAAGGCCAGGTTTCTCTTTTGAGTTTTACCTATATTTGGCAGGCCTGCAGAATGTGCTCAGATGTTTGTGTTTAATGTGTTCTGTTGAGCCTGACGTGTCCTGTTTTTAGACGGACAGTTGTTGTATTAATGTTTTCTATTGAGCCTGTGGTGTCCTGTTCTTAGATGGACAGTTCTTGTATAATATTTTCTGTTGAGCTTGCAGTGTCCTGTTCTTAGAGGGACACAAGAAGGGTGTGACGATGAATGCATGTAGGGTATGATGATGAATGCACGTAATGTGTGACAATGAATGCATGTAGGGTGTGACAATGAGTGCATGTAGGGTGTGACAATGAGTGCATGTAGGGTGTGACAATGAGTGCATGTAGGGTGTGACAATGAATGCATGTAGGGTGTGACAATGAATGCATGTAGGGTGTGACAATGAGTGCATGTAGGGTGTGACAATGAATGCATGTAGGGTGTGACAATGAATGCATGTAGGTTGTGACAATGAGTGCATGTTGGGTGTGACAATGAATGCACATAATGTGTGACAATGAATGCATGTAGGTTGTGACAATGAGTGCATGTAGGGTGTGACAATGAGTGCATGTAGGGTGTGACAATGAGTGCATGTAGGGTGTGACAATGAATGCATGTAGGGTGTGACAATGAGTGCATGTAGGGTGTGACAATGAATGCATGTAGGGTGTGACAATGAATGCATGTAGGTTGTGACAATGAGTGCATGTAGGGTGTGACAATGAGTGCATGTAGGGTGTGACAATGAATGCATGTAGGGTGTGACAATGAATGCATGTAGGGTGTGACAATGAATGCATGTAGGTTGTGACAATGAGTGCATGTAGGGTGTGACAATGAATGCATGTAGGGTGTGACAATGAATGCATGTAGGGTGTGACAATGAATGCATGTAGGCTGTGACAATGAATACATGTAGGGTGTGACAGTGAATGCATGTAGGTTGTGACAATGAATGCATGTAGGGTGTGACAATGCATGTAGGGTGTGACAATGAATGCATGTAGGGTGTGACAATGAATGCATGTAGGGTGTGACAATGAATGCATGTAGGTTGTGACAATGAATGCATGTAGGGTGTGACAATGAATGCATGTAGGCTGTGACAATGAATGCATGTAGGTTGTGACAATGAATGCATGTAGGCTGTGACAATGAATGCATGTAGGTTGTGACAATGAATGCATGTAGGGTGTGACAATGAATGCATGTAGGGTGTGACAATGAATGCATGTAGGGTGTGACAATGAATGCATGTAGGCTGTGACAATGAATGCATGTAGGCTGTGACAATGAATGCATGTAGGGTGTGACAATGAATGCATGTAGGTTGTGACAATGAATGCATGTAGGTTGTGACGGTGAATGCATGTAGGGTGTGATGGTGAATGCATGTAGGGTGTGACGGTGAATGCATGTAGGGTGTGGTGTTTTTGCCTGGATAATGAGGCTCATGCTTTTGTTGTTTCCTTTTCTAGGAGAGTGATGGTGAAAAAAGTGACCAGGACCTCGTTGTTGATGTGAGTATTTAGCCATGGAAACATAACAGCTCCACATGTAGCCATGGAAACATAACAGCTCTACATGTAGCCTTGGAAATATAACAGCTCCACATGTAGCCATGGAAACATAACAGCTCCACGTGTAGCCATGGAAACAAAACAGCTCCACATGTAGCCATGGAAACATAACAGCTCCACATGTAGCCATAGAAACATAACAGCTTCACATGTAGCCATAGAAACATAACAGCCTCACATGTAGCCATAGAAACATAACAGCTTCACATGTAGCCATAGAAACATAACAGCTTCACATGTAGCCATAGAAACATAACAGCTTCACATGTAGCTATGGAAACAAAAGCGTTATTTGCAGCTGTGCATCACTTGTAGCCATGGAAATGTGACAGCATCATATGTAGCTATGCAAACATCAGATCATATTTAGCCATGCAAACATCACATCATATGTAGCCATGCAAACATCACATCATATGTAGCCATGTAAACATCAGCTTTAAATGTATCCAAATAAACATGGCATCATATGTAGCCATGCAAACATAATGACTGAATTGATATGTTGCTAACGGGTCGGAAATCACCAGCTGTTTATGCAAGCCCTTAAGTGGTACAACTCATGCATAATTCACACTTGAGGTATTGATCCTTGAGTCTCGCAGCTGCTGCAGTCATCTTGCCTCGGGGCAGCCAGTAGGTGTGATTTATAGTCTATCTCACAACCTTGTGATCGTTCATCAGTGGTGCAGACTTACAGTTTATTTCACAACCTTGTGATTATCCATCAGTGCCTCACATTTATAGTCTCCTTTCATAACCTTTGTGAGTTGTCATAAAAGACAGCCTTTATAGGAGAGGGATAGACTTACAAGAAAGCCATCAATCCTTAACTCAGGAATGCCAACAGACTGCTGAAGTGGCTCGACTATAATTTTATCCAAGGGTTTTGTCCCAGGATAGTATTATATAAGCAGACGGCAATTACTGTTTTGGGAACAAGGTTACAGGTGAAATTTCTCTGCCCTCTTCAACTAGAATTCATGTGTCGTCACCTGATTCACCCAGAAATCTCTTCCGAGTTCTTCTTCTTTCCCGGAGACACTTTCCTCCTAGCAATTTATAGATTCCTAAAATATGTTGCCTGCGGTATTAACTGTGAAGCTGATTGGGGAATTCTTAGGAAATTCAGTTTCTCTGAATTCATTCATACTTCTCAGCCATCTCATTTTCAGTTTCTTTGAGTTCATTCATACTTCTCAGCCATCTCATTTTCAATTTCTTTGAGTTCATTCATACTTCTCAGCCATCTCATTTTTAGTTTCTTTGAGTTCATTCATACTTCTCAGCCATCTCAATTTCAGTTTCTTTGAGTTCATTCATACTTCTCAGCCATCTCATTTTCAGTTTCTTTGAGTTCATTCATACTTTTCAGCCATCTCATTTTCAGTTTCTTTGAGTTCATTCATACTTCTCAACCATCTCATTTTTAGTTTCTTTGAGTTCATTCATACTTTTCAGCCATCTCATTTTCAGTTTCTTTGAGTTCATTCATACTTCTCAGTCATCTCATTTTTAGTTTCTTTGAGTTCATTCATACTTCTCAGCCATCTCATTTTTAGTTTCTTTGAGTTCATTCATACTTCTCAGCCATCTCATTTTTAGTTTCTTTGAGTTCATTCATACTTCTCAGCCATCTCATTTTTAGTTTCTTTGACTTCATTCATACTTTTCAGCCATCTCATTTTCAGTTTCTTTGAGTTCATTCATATTTCTCAGCCATCTTATTTTTAGTTTCTTTGAGTTCATTCATACTTCTCAGCCATCTCATTTTTAGTTTCTTTGACTTCATTCATACTTCTCAGCCATCTAATTTTCAGTTTCTTTGAGTTCATTCATACTTCTCAGCCATCTCATTTTCTATTGTTTATTTGTTTCAAATAAACTTCCCTCCGTTATTGAGGTGATCTATCTTTCTGGCGGGCAAGTCAGAGGGACATTCAAAATCACTTTATAAAATGAGTGTTCATCAGTGATGCAGATTTTTAGTCAATTTCACAACATTGTGATTGTCCATCAGTGATGCAGATTTATAGTCAATTTCACAACATTGTTATTATCCATCAGTGCTGCAGATTTATAATCTATTTCACAACATTGTGAGGGTCCCCCAGTGCTGCAAATTTATAGTCTATTTCACAACATTGTGAGGGTCACCCAGTTCTGCAGATGTATAGTCTATTTCACAACATTGTGAGAGTCCATCAGTGCTGCAGATTTTTAGTCTATTTCACAACGTTGTGATTGTCCATCAATGCTGCAGATTTAGTCTATTTCACAACTTTGTGATTGTCCATCAGTGATGCAAATTTATAGTCTATTTCACAACATTGTGATTGTCCATCAGTGGTGCAGATTTATAGTCTATTTAACAACATTGTGATTGTCCATCAGTGCTACAGATTTATAGTCTATTTCACAAGATTGTAAGGGTCCCACAGTGCTGCAGATTTATGTTCTATTTCACAACATTGTGATTGTCCATCAGTGATGCAGATTTATAGTTTATTTCACAACATTGTGAGGATTCCCCAGTGCTGCAAATTTATAGTCTATTTCACAACATTGTGAGAGTCCCCCCAGTGCTGCAGATGTATAGTCTATTTCACAACATTGTGATTGTCCATCAGTGCTGCAGATGTATAGGCTATTTCACAATGTTGTGATTGTCCATCAGTGCTGCAGATTTATAGTCTATTTCACAACATTGTGATTGTCCACCAGTGCTGCAGATGTATAGTCTATTTCACAACATTGTGAGGGTCCCCCAGTGCTGCAAATTTATAATCTATTTCACAACATTGTGAGGGTCCATCAGTGCCGCGGATTTATAGTCTATTTCACAACATTGTGAGGGTCCATCAGTGCTGCAGATTTATAGTCTATTTCACAACATTGTGATTGTCCATCAGTGCTGCAGATTTATAGTCTATCTCGCAACCTTATGAGTGTCCATCAGTAGTGCAGATTTATAGTTTGTCTCACAACATTGTGAGTGTCCATCAGTGCCTCATAATGCCTTTATCTTATACAGTTCGCTGGGCATTAATCAGGTAGTAACATCTTTATTTCGTCACACACTCATCTAGTTTATAGTAACATTTTTTCTTGATTCACTAATCTAGTTTATAGTAAGTAAAAAATTTTTTTGCCAATACACTTACTTGTTGTGTTAAGTTATTTTTCTTTACATTTATCTTGTTTATAGTAACAGTTTAATCTTCCCATGCGCTTATTTAGTTTATGGTAACATTGGAATCTTTCCATACACTTATTCAGTTTATGGTAACATTTGAATCTTCCCATACACTTGTTTAGTTTATTGTAACAGTTGAATTTTCTCATACACTTATCTAGTTTATAGTAACGGTTTAATATTCTTGTACACTAATTTAGTTTGTAGTAACAGTTGAATTTGGGATATATGCTGTTGGCATTTAGTCAATCATTTTGTCTCTATCATTGCTGGTCGCTTGTATTTCCCAGAAACTGTCCTGTAATTTAATGTAGACTTGGTCAACTTAGAAACCCTGGTCAGAGTTGAAACAAATGCTCATCTTCAAGAGGATTTGAACATAGGACTGCAGGCAGATGTGCTAACCTTTGCTGCCCCACTGCGTGCGCACATAAACACACACAATGTACATCACATCATATTCAAATATGGAACCTGTTTTCTTGAGTGAATCATGAGGACTGTCAACATACAACACTCCGTATAGAGCCATAGGTGCTTTGATCTCTTCATCAAAAAGCTCCACAAGTTTACAGTGACTGATGACACCTGCTGACTGATTAAACATCTTGCCCTCTGTGAAAGATTAATTTCTTGCAGCTTCAAGTTGCATCGCTATTTCTCCCAGCCTGTTTTCTTTAGTCTGCTGAGGCATCCCCCTCACCCCCAAATCGTGCTTTGTTTGAAATGTATTTGAGATCCACAGGAAGAGGCTTGTCAAACACCAGACAATGATTGCAGTATAAACTGTTGTCTCTCACCTTTACTCAGAAAGATTCTTCTTGGCTCCCCCTCAAAAGTGTGTTTAACAGTCGTGTGGTTGTTTAAAGCTAGGCTGTGATGTCAACCTTTTGGCTCCACGCATCTGATTTCAGCAAACCCCTGACTAGTTTCCATTTGCAACATACTGGGGTGGGTGGGGGGGGGAGGGCCTGCAGATTTATCCCCTCCCCAAACAGACCCTTGACACTGTTTTGCATTCAAGGGAATGTGATGAGATGCCAAGACTTGACTTTTGCATATTGTAGCTCTTCAGTGTCAAGGTAAAGAAATACTGGCATCATCATTGTTGTTTCGGTGGCTTTTCAGGACAACACTTCCCCTGCCAATGGGGACATGTCTCCCAGAGAGAAGCATGCGCTCAAAGATGCGTTGAAAAAAGACCAGGACAGAGACAGAATCAGTCCACGAAGTGATGCTTCGTCCCATTCTAGTTCATCTTCAAAACCTAAAGAGGTAAGCACCATGACTTACTGTTGTCCTTTACGTCTTCTGACAGAGAGGAAATGCTCATAGTTAAATAGATCTTTTGAGAGAGCAGGTGCTGTTGGTTAAATAGATCTTTTGACAGAAAAGAGGTGCTGACAGTTAATTAGATCTTTTGACAGAGAGCAGGTGCTGTAGTTAAGTAAACTCTCTTGTCCTAGAGTAGGTGAGATGCGGTCAGATAGATCTGCTGTCAGAGTGCAGATTGGCACTACTTACACCTTGCTGCCTAAGATGCTGTAGAGTCTTAGACTGGTGTTGCTTTCAACAGTTTTCTTCTGTGGCTCTTGAGGGGATTCTCTGGTGACCCTGATACTCTCGGCTGCCCTCTGTCTCTGGTACACCTGCTGTCAGTCTGCATCAGTGTTACTTTATAAACTAAACATGCTTTTGTTTGTTTGAATAGAGAAAAAGGTAGAACGTACATGGATATGATCCCCCCAACCCCCACCACAGTTGTAGTCTTCTCTGTCCTATCATCACTGTGACAAAAAGTAATTGTCTCAGATATTTATGTTTTCTTTTTACTTGCCATTATCTTCTTAATTATGCTCAGCCCCCCCCCCCCCCCTTTCTATGGTATTTTCTTTGTTTTATCTTCTTCTTCTTCTCCTTTTTCTACTACTACTGCTGCTGCTTCTCCCCCTCTTGCTGCTGCTGCTGCTACATCATTGTTTTCTTCTTCGTCGTCGTCCTCTAATTCTTTTCACAGAAACAAATTTGTCTGTACCCAGTTTTTATAACCTTTGGATTGTTGTGGCAATAATATCTTCTTTTGTGCACAGAAAAAAAAACATAAAAGAAAGCTGAATGCATGATTGCCTTGGCATTATAGGGGGCAGAGATAATAGCTTGGGAGGGAAAAGGGTGGCAGACAGTCGCTGGCGGTGGGGCAGGGTGTTGAAATCAATATTAATTATCTGCAGCAAGTCAGTGACAAAGGCGTAGGCATGATTCCTGCACACTGATATTCAGGCTTCATTACCATGTGAACAGTGTTAATCTAGAGAGGGGAAGGGGAGGGTGGTGTCCACAGGGGAACTTACTGCTACTTCACAGTTGGCAAGGGAGACAAGATGGTGTTATAGGATGAAGGTGGTGATTAGAGGGAAGGGAATTAATCAGGGAACAGAATTAGGGGGATTGAGAGTGCGAGAGCTGGGGATTTTATTTGTTAATGGTGTTTGAAATTTTAATAATTTTCATTTGCATTATATTTCCGGCTTATTTGCTTCATAAAAAAACTGTAATATGGGGGGAAGGGGTAGCATCAGGTGGGAGGTGTGTGGCAGAGTTTAGGGACTGAAATGGCCAAACTAAATGTGCCTAAATGTTTATAGTCTAGTGTAGTGACTGTGCATCTGGGAGTGCAAGAAGACAAATAAGGAATAGCTGGGAGTGAATGAATAGCTGGAAGTCTTAGGGAATAAATGAGGAATAGCTGGGAGTGTTAGGGGACAAATGAGGAAAAGCTGGGAGTGTTAGGGGGAAAATGAGGAACAACTGAGAGTGTTAGGGGGAAATTGAGGAATAGCTGAGAGGGGGGAAATGAGGAATAGCTGGGAGTGTTAGGGAACAAATGAGGAATAGCTGGGAGTGTTAGGGGACAAATGTAGAATAGCTGGGAGTGTTAGGGGCAAATGAGGAATAGCTGGGAGTGTTAGAGGACAAATGAGGAATAGCTGGGAGTGCTACGGGACAAATGAGGAGTAGCTGGGAGTCTAAGCGGACAAATGAGGAATAGCTGGGAGTCTAAGGGGACAAATAAGGAATTGCTGGGAGTCTAAGGGGACAAATGAGGAGTAGCTGGAAGTCTAAGGGGACAAATGAGGAATAGCTGGGTGTGTTAGGGGACAAATGAGGAATAGCTGTGAGTGTTAGGGGACAAATGAGGAATAACTGGCAGTCAGGGGGAAAATGAGGAATAGCTGGGAGTGTTAGGGGACAAATGAGGAATAGCTGGGAGTGTTAGAGGACAAATGAGGAATAGCTGCTAGTGTTAGGGGACAAATGTAGAATAGCTGGGAGTGTTAGGGGCAAATGAGGAATAGCTGGGAGTGTTAGGGGACAAATGAGGAATAGCTAAGAGTGCTACGGGACAAATGAGGAGTAGCTGGGAGTCTAAGCGGACAAATGAGGAATAGCTGGGAGTCTAAGGGGACAAATAAGGAATTGCTGGGAGTCTAAGGGGACAAATGAGGAGTAGCTGGAAGTCTAAGGGGACAAATGAGGAATAGCTGGGAGTGTTAGGGGACAAATGAGGAATAGCTGTGAGTGTTAGGGGACAAATGAGGAATAACTGGCAGTCAGGGGGAAAATAAGGAATAGCTGGGAGTGTTAGGGGACAAATGAGGAATAGCTGGGAGTGTTACGGGACAAATAAGAAATAGATCGGAGTCTAAGGGGACAAATGAGGAATAACTGGGAGTCTATGAATAGCTGGAAGTCTTAGGGAATAAATGAGGAATAGCTGGGAGTGTTAGGGGACAAATGAGGAATAGCTGGGAGTGTTAGGGGACAAATGAGGAATAACTGGCAGTCAGGGGAAAAATTAGGAATAGCTGGGAGTGTTAGGAGACAAATGAGGAATAGCTGTTAGTGTTAGGGACATATGAGGAATAACTGGCAGTCAGGGGAAAAATGAGGAATAGCTGGGAGTGTTAGGGGACAAATGAGGAATAGCCCTGAGTGTTAGGGGACAAATGAGGAATAGATGGGAGTCAAGGGACAAATGAGGAATAGCTGGGAGTGTTAGGGGACAAATAAGGAAAAGCTGAGAGCGTTATGGGATAAATGAGGAATAGCTGGGAGTGTTAGGGGATAAATGAGGAATAGTCGAGAGTGTTAGGTGACAAATAAGGAATATCTGAGAGTGTTAGGGGATAAACGAGGAATAGCAATGAGTGTTAGGGGATAAATGAGGAATAGCTGGGAGTGTTAGGGGACAAATAAGGAATAGCTGAGAGTGTTAGGGGATAAATGAGGAATAGCTGGGAGTGTTAGGGAACAAATGAGGAATAGATGGGAGTGTTAGGGGACAAATAAGGAATAGCTGAGAGTGTTAGGGGATAAATGAGGAAAGCTGGGAGTGTTAGGGGATAAATGAGGAATAGATGGGAGTGTTAGGTGACAAATAAGGAATATCTGAGAATGTTAGGGCATAAATGAGGAATAGCAATGAGTGTTAGGGGATAAATGAGGAATAGCTGAGAGTGTTAGGTGATAAATGAGGCATAGCTGGGAGTGTTAGGGGACAAATAAGGAATAGCTGAGAGTGTTAGGGGACAAATAAGGAATAGCTGAGAGTGTAAGGGGATAAATGAGGAATAGCTGGGAGTGTTAGGGGATAAATGAGGAATAGCTGGGAGTGTTAGGGGACAAATAAGGAACAGCTGAGAGTGTTAGGGGACAAATGAGGAATAGCTGGGAGTGTTAGGGGATAATTAGCAGCTACAGCTGTTATGTTTCTGGTCTCCTCTGTTTTATTCTACCTAATACAATAACAGCCAGATGTCAGGAGGTGACAGAGCTCTGAAATCAGCTGCAGCCATGGTTACAGTCAGGCATGCCTCAGGGGACAGAGCTCTGAAATCAGCTGCAGCCAGGGTTACAGTCAGGCATGCCTCAGGGGACAGAGCTCTGAAATCAGCTGCAGCCAGGGTTACAGTCAGGCATGCCTCAGGAGACAGGAAATTATTGATCCTCTAGAATTCTTGAGACAGACATCTGGCAGAGTCTGATGCCTTGCTTTCCTCCGAGTCTTCTTGTCACTGCAGTGTCAATTATACATTAATGTGTGTGATGGGCCTGTAGCAGGCATCTTCAGTCACATCTGGTTGACTTGGCAAGCCCACTTTGATTTGTTAGATTAAATGAGGGGGTCAATAAAAAACAGTTGGAAATGAGGGGTTAATATTAACTTAAAATGAAAAGGTAATATAAGCACTTTTAAATGAAGGGGTTAATAAAACAGCTAGAAGTGAGAGGTTAACAATAGTTTGAAAAAAGTTTTTTTGGTTTTAAATTTGGCAGAGGGTTTAAAAAAAATGCTTTTTTTTGACAGGGCGCTCTGACATAGTTCAGGAACATCTGACATGGCTCAAGAAGATCTAACATGGTTCATGAACATCTGACATGGTTCAGGTCTATAATTTGACATCACCAATACTTGACAGGGAGCTTTGACATGGTTCAGGGAGATCTGACATGGTTTAGGGAGATCAGATACGGTTCAGGAAAATTTGATATGGTTCAGGGAGCTCTGACAGGATTCAGGGATATCTGACATGCTCAGGGAAGTCTGAAATGGTTCAGGTCTATAATGTGACATCACCACTACTTGACATGGAAATCTGACATGGTTCAGGGAAATTTGACTTCGTTCAGGGTTCAGGAATATGTGACCTGGTTCAGGGAGATCTTACCTGGTTCATGGAAATCTTAACACACCTGTAATTCTCTTGACCTGAAGGTTTCATGAGGTTTAAGGATGTCTGAAAGCCATGTTTTGGAATTTCTAAGATAGTTTTCTTCATATGTCCTTGCTTGTGATGTTCTCCACAGAGTGAGAAAGCGGGGACCCCGGTTTCCAAACCAACAACACCCACAAACACAGGCAGCAGCACTCCAGGACCATCAGTAGGCATCAAACATGGTATGTGTGTCTTATATGTTCCGTTGTATGGTCACATGTTCCGTCTCTCCTACAGCAGGCATCAAACATGGTATGTGTGTCTTATATGTTCCTTTGTATGGTCACATGTTCCGTCTCTCCTACAGCAGGCATCAAACATGGTATGTGTCTTATATGTTCCGTTGTGTGATCACATGTTGTGTCTCTCCTGCAGCAGGCATCAAACATGGTATGTGTGTCTTATATGTTCCTTTGGATGGTCGCATGTTCCGTCTCTCCTACAGCAGACATCAAACATGGTATGTGTGTCTTATATGTTTCGTTGTGTGATCACATGTTGTGTCTCTCCTGCAGCAGGCATCAAACATGGTATGTGTGTGTTATATGTTCCTTTGTGTGGTCACATGTTCCGTCTCTCCTGCAGCAGGCACTAAACATGGTATGTGTGTCTTATATGTTCCTTTGTGTGGTCACATGTTCCGTCTCTCCTGCAGCAGGCGTCAAACATGGTATGTGTGTCTTATATGTTCCGTTGTATGGTCACATGTTCTGTCTCTCCTGCAGCAGGCATCAAACATGGTATGTGTGTCTTATATGTTCCTTTAAATGGTCATGTGTTCCGTCTCTCCTACAGCATGGTTGTGTGTCTTATATGTTCCGTTGTGTGATCACATTTTGTGTCTCTCCTGCAGCAGGCATCAAACATGGTAGATGTTCCTTTGTATGGTATGCATGTTCCGTCTCTCCTGCAGCAGGCATCAAACATGGTAGATGTTCCTTTGTATGGTCACATGTTCCGTCTCTCCTGCAGCAGGCATCAAACATGGTAGATGTCTTATATTGTATGTGATCACATGTTGTGTCTCTCCTGCAGCAGGCATCAAACATGGTATGTGTTCTTATATGTATTTGGATGGTCGCATGTTCCGTCTCTCCTACAGCAGACATCAAACATGGTATGTGTGTCTTATATGTTCCTTTGTTTGGATCACATGTTCTGTCTCTCCTGCAGCAGGCATCAAACATGGTATGTGTGTCTTATATGTTCCTTTGTATGGTCGCATGTTCCGTCTCTCCTGCAGCAGGCATCAAACATGGTATGTGTGTGTTGTCCTTGATCGCTGTCTCTTCTTCATGAAAGATCATCTCTGTTTTCTCCTGGTCGTCTAAAATTTCAGCTGTATAGCTACACAGACAGCTCACTGAGAGCAGATTGGTTTACTAGAGGGGTTTGTTATTAATTGTTTCATTAAAAATTCATAGTTGTGTGTGATTTCTTTGTGCGCCTTACTTCAGCAAGTTTAGAATTTAATCTAGTCTATATTTGTATCCATATTGTATTTTTCTGTTTAAAGGGTGGGAGGGGGAAGAATGGGTGTGTGTTTGTGTGATAGAGACAGGAGGAGGGGGAGGGATGTTGGTGTGTGATAGAGACAGGAGGGGAGTTGGAGGGATGTGTGTGAGTGTGTGTGTGATAGAGACAGGCGGGTGGGAGGGAGGGATGGGTATGTGTGATAGAGACAAGAGGAGGGGGAGGGATGGGTGTGTGATAGAGATAGAAGGAAGGGGAGGGATGGGTGTGTGTATGTGTGATAGAGACAGGAGGAGGGTGGGGGAGGTATGTGTGTGTGTATGATAGAGACAGGGGGAGGGATGGGTGTATGTGTGTGATAGAGACAGGAGAAGGGTGGGAGGAATGGATGTGTGTGGTAGAGACAGGAGGAGGGGGAGGGATGGGTGTGTGTGATACAGGGGGAGGGATGGGTGTGTGTGATACAGGGGGAGGGATGGGTGTGTGTGTGTGTGATAGAGACAAGAGGAGGGTAGGAGGAATGGATGTGTGTGATTGAGACAGGAGGAGAGTGGGGGTTTACTGCAGGTTATTGTTTAGCGTTTTTAAATTTGCAGTTTCGAAAGTTTTTTTAAATAAAGTTTAGTTTTTTTTAGAATGCTCTCATATTTTATGCTTGCCTGCTGGGATAGTGTCAGTTGTATTTTTGAGTCACAAGATGGATGGGAATTTGTTGCTGAATGGTCCCTGAGCTCTCTTCTACAGGCCAGTGTTATCCAGATAATAGTGAGATGCCGGTGTGGAATTCAAGGCTGGTTTAGGCTGACAGCTCACAATAAAAAGAAAGCTTGCTAATGCACGCGTGCTCCACAGCAATTGGCTTTTATTGCTCAACTCTCAGAACATCCTGGCAACTGCAAGACGTAACAATCAGTCAGTGTGACTAATGAATCTTCGACACTCACTGGCTCCTGGCTTGATTGTACTCTTTGGATGTTGCTGTTCATTAATATCTTGATAATAACCCTCCGCTTTTTCTTCTTCTTTTTTTCTTGTTTGCAGGCTGTAAACTCTGGAAAGTTCTGGTTGTTTTTCCACCCCCAGACTATAGTCTTGTTTTAGAACCTGAATGTTATGTGCACATCCATTTTATCTGAATTATTTATATGCAGACTGTTGGTTCTCTCAGGCAGATGCACTTCGACTTCGCAATTAGTTGACTCTTTTGACATGCTTGTTGGGGAAGGCAGTGGGTCTATTTTTGTTTTCCCCAAAATGGAGAGCTGAAATGCACACATGGATGGATTGCTCACTTGTGATATCTTTATATTAAGCTCCCACTTTTATCACTATCTGTTTTGTGATCACTTGCTGTCAGGTTTGTCCAAGTGTAGTTTTAAAAGAGTTTCATGGCTTTTCAAGGTAGCAAGGTTAATGTGTAGTTTCAGCAGCTGTCTCTAGTACCCTTTTTTTTTTTTGGATTAAAAAAATATATATTATTTTAATGTTTACTTTATTTTTGTCTTCTAAAACTTATTCACTGTGTTTATGTGAGCAAAAGTCAGAAATTAGTAGGTTTTTGTGAGCGAGAAATTGTTGGTTGTCAGCCCCTAGTCTAGACCGTTATGTCTTGTTGTGTAATTCTGGGGCACATCCAAATGAAGTCTTGTTGTGAATACTTCAGCAGGCAGCTCACTGGCAAATGGCTTGGCTTCGAGTGCATTGAACAGTTTTCCAAGGGCTCCAATGGTAAGTAAATGTTTTTCTTTCCCTCTCATACTCCAGACGAACATTAGCTAATTCACGTTCTGCGTAAATTTAAGGAATAAAAGTCCTTGGCCTGCAGGCTGAAAACCCACGCACGCACACTCACACTTAATCGAGGTACTGTAAATATAACAGTTGCATGGAGGTGTTTTCCCCCCAGGAATTTGAATGACAGAAAGCACAGTGGCTTTTCTTAATCATGTGCATTGAGTCTGTTGGAAGGATTGGATGTGCCATGTGACAGTTGTTCTTAGCAAGTTTTGTTGGTCTATTTGAAGCATGAGGACATGTTTTAATTGTTTAGTCTGTTGGAGCACGTGGACTGCTGATTGCTGTCATCTTTCAGGAGAAATGTTACATTGATTGCCGAAGCACCTGTATTCAGGATGTGCAGCAGTTGTTGAGAGAGAATTCATCTGAATCTAGTAGGATTATTTTAGCCTGTCAGTGGGATTTGGTAGCAAGGTTCTGAGGCTATTTTTCAAGAGGTGGTAACTGGGGCAGTGTTGGCAATGCCATGTACTTGCTACATTTTAGACTGTTCCATGGATGCGGTTGTATCTCTTTTGTTTTTCATGACATGGCCTGGGCTGTATGTGACGCCCGTAAAGAAGTAGTTAGGTGCACCTTGCCATTTGTTTGGACAATAGATTGTAGGGTAGCCAGATGTGACTTCCAAGCTGTAATTATGTTTATTCATTACTTTGGGTTTCTGTTTCCCAAAGCTTGCTCTGCAAATCCATTTTAAATACAAGAAGTCAACACGCAAGAATGTAAGCACAGCATGATTTATCTGCTAGATCAACATTGTGTTAAGTGTGTGACTGCATTGATGATCCATTTATGTTAACTCATGTGTTTATCACTATCATCAAGTGCCTTGCCAAATGGCAATGGGGAGAGAATTCGTCTCCACGTCTTATGGTCTCCAACAGAATGTGCTAGTTTGTGTACATGCCACAGTGATAAGTGTTTTCTCTTGCTACCTGCCACAGTGATAAGTGTCTTCTTCTCTTGCTACATGCCACAATGACAAGGGTCTTCTCTTGCTACATGCTACAGTGACAAGGGTCTTCTCTTGCTACATGCCACAGTGATAAGTGTCTTCTCTTGCTACATGCTACAGTGACAAGGGTTATCTCTTGCTACATGCCACAGGGACAAGGGTCATCTCTTGCTACATGTCACAGTGACAAGGGTCTTCTCTTGCTACATGTCACAGTGACAAGGGTCATCTCTTGCTGCATGCCACAGGGACAAGGGTCATCTCTTGCTACATGCCATAGTGACAAGGGTCTTCTTTTGCTACATGTCACAGTGACAAGGATCTTCTCTTGCTACATGTCACAGTGACAAGGGTCTTCTCTTGCTACATGCCACATGTCACACAAGTACAGTGACAAGGGTCATCTCTTGCTACATGCCACAGTGACAAGGGTCATCTCTTGCTACATGCTGACACTTCTCTTGCTACATGTCACAGTGACAAGGGTCATCTCTTGCTACTTGACAAGGGTCTTCTCTTGCTACATGTCACAGTGACAAGGGTCTTCTCTTGCTACATGTCACAGTGACAAGGGTCTTCTCTTGCTACATGTCACAGTGACAAGGGTCTTCTCTTGCTACATGTCACAGTGACAAGGGTCTTCTCTTGCTACATGTCACAGTGACAAGGGTCTTCTCTTGCTACATGCCACAGTGACAAGGGTCTTCTCTTGCTACATGCCACAGTGACAAGGGTCTTCTCTTGCTACATGCCACAGTGACAAGGGTCTTCTCTTGCTACATGCCACAGTGACAAGGGTCTTCTCTTGCTACATGCCACAGTGACAAGGGTCTTCTCTTGCTACATGTCACAGTGACAAGGGTCTTCTCTTGCTACATGCCACAGTGACAAGGGTCTTCTCTTGCTACATGTCACAGTGACAAGGGTCTTCTCTTGCTACATGTCACAGTGACAAGGGTCTTCTCTTGCTGCATGTCACAGTGACAAGGGTCTTCTCTTGCTACATGTCACAGTGACAAGGGTCTTCTCTTGCTACATGCTACAGTGACAAGGGTCTTCTCTTGCTACATGCCACAGTGACAAGTGTCATCTCTTGCTACATGCCACAGTGACAAGGGTCATCTCTTGCTACATGCCACAGTGACAAAGGTCTTCTCTTGCTACATGCCACAGTGACAAGGGTCTTCTCTTGCTACATGCCACAGTGACAAGTGTCTTCTCTTGCTACATGCCACAGTGACAAGTGTCATCTCTTGCTACATGTCAGTGACAAGGGTCTGACAAGTGTCTTCTCTTGCTACACAGTGACAAGTGTCATCTCTTGCTACATGCCACAGTGACAAGGGTTTTCTCTTGCTACATGCCACAGTGACAAGGGTCATCTCTTGCTACATGCCACAGTGACAAGTGTAATTTCTTGCTACATGCCACAGTGACAAGGGTCTTCTCTTGCTACATGCCACAGGGACAAGGGTCTTCTCTTGCTACATGCTACAGGGACAAGGTCTTCTCTTGCTACATGCTACAGTGACAAAGGTCTTCTCTTGCTGCATGCTACGGTGACAAAAATCTTTTCTTGTTTTCCCCCCTTGCTATTTAGCTTCTGATGTGTGGCCAGACAGTGTAGACTCTGATGCTTGCAGGGACTCTATTGGTAGAAAGCATGACTAGTTTGAATTGACATGGACTTGGACCAATGTCCTGGTGCTGGGACAGCTCTTTCACCTTGTGTATTTGTTGTTATACCCCTGTCAGTTGCCATGTTGTTGATTTACCTCTGTCAGTTGCCATGTTGTTGTTATACCCCTGTCAGTTGCCATGTTGTTATACCTCTGTCAGTTGCCATGTTGTTGTTATACCTCTGTCAGTTGCCATGTTGTTATACCTCAGTCAATTGCCATGTTGTTGTTATACCTCAGTCAATTGCCATGTTGTTGTTATACCTCAGTCAATTGCCATGTTGTTGTTATACCTCTGTCAGTTGCCATATTGTTGTTATAGCTCTGTCAGTTGCCATGTTGTTGTTATAGCTCTGTCAGTTGCCATGTTGTTATACCTCTGTCAATTGCCATGTTGTTGTTATACCTCAGTCAATTGCCATGTTGTTGTTGTACCTCTTTCAGTTGCTATGTTGTTGTTATACCTCTTTCAGTTGCCATGTTGTTATACCTCTGTCAGTTGCCATGTTGTTGTTATACCTCTTTCAGTTGCCATGTTGTTGTTATACCTCTTTCAATTGCCATGTTGTTGTTATACCTCTTTCAGTTGCCATGTTGTTGTTATACCTCTTTCAGTTGCCATGTTGTTATACCTCTGTCAGTTGACATGTTGTTGTTATACCTCTTTCAGTTGCCATGTTGTTGTTATACCTCTTTCAGTTGCCATGTTGTTGTTAGACCTCTTTCAGTTGCCATGTTGTTATACCTCTGTCAGTTGCCATGTTGTTGTTTTACCTCAGTCAATTGCCATGTTGTTGTTATACCTCAGTCAATTGCCATGTTGTTGTTATACCTCTGTCAGTTGCCATATTGTTGTTATAGCTCTGTCAGTTGCATTGTTGTTGTTATACCTCAGTCAATTGCCATGTTGTTGTTATACCTCTGTCAGTTGCCATATTGTTGTTATACTTCTGTCAGTTGCCATGTTGTTGTTATACCTCTGTCAGTTGCCATGTTGTTATACCTCTGTCAATTGCCATGTTGTTGTTATACCTCTTTCAGTTGCCATGTTGTTGTTATACCTCTGTCAGTTGCATTGTTGTTGTTATACCTCTGTCAGTTGCATTGTTGTTGTTTTCCCAGGTGGGATTTGAAGCTCACGTTTCCCACAGTGCAATGAGACCAACACTGAACAACATACCTGGCGGAAAGCCGTAAGTTTCAACTTGTGTTGTCTCTCTCTTGACACTGGTTTTGTAGAGGATAATATCAAGGGCAGTGTTGAGACTTGACCACATTGTAATGAAAGTGGGTTTTTGACAGAAATATTATATTGTTGAGACTTGACCACATTGTAATGAAAGTGGGTTTTTGACAGAAATATTATATTGTTGAGACTTGACCACATTGTAATGAAAGTGGGTTTTTGACAGAAATATTGTATTGTTGAGACCTGACCACATTGTAATGAAAGTGGGGTTTTGAAAGAAATATTGTATTGTTGAGACTTGACCAGATTGTAATGAAAGTGGGTTTTTGACAGAAATATTGTATTGTTGAGACTTGACCAGATTGTAATGAAAGTGGGTTTTTGACAGAAATATTGTATTGTTGAGACTTGACCAGATTGTAATGAAAGTGGGTTTTTGAAAGTAATATTGTATTGTTGAGACTTGACCAGATTGTAATTAAAGTGGGTTTTTGAAAGAAATATTGTATTGTTGAGACTTGACCAGATTGTAATGAAAGTGGGGTTTTGAAAGAAATATTGTATTGTTGAGACTTGACTAGATTGTAATGAAAGTGGGGTTTTGAAAGAAATATTGTATTGTTGAGACTTGACCAGATTGTAATGAAAGTGGGTTTTTGAAAGAAATATTGTATTGTTGAGACTTGACTAGATTGTAATGAAAGTGGGGTTTTTTGAGAGAAAATTTGTATTGTTGAGACTTGACTAGATTGTAATGAAAGTGGGTTTTGAAAGAAATATTGTATTGTTGAGACTTGACTAGATTGTAATGAAAGTGGGGTTTTGAAAGAAATATTGTATTGTTGAGACTTGAGCAGATTGTAATGAAAGTGGGTTTGTGAAAGAAATATTGTATTGTTGAGACCTGACCACATTGTAATGAAAGTGGGTTTTTGAAAGAAATATTGTATTGCTGAGACTTGACTAGATTGTAATGAAAGTGGGGTTTTGAAAGAAATATTGTATTGTTGAGACCTGACCAGATTGTAATGAAAGTGGGTTTTTGAAAGAAATATTGTATTGTTAAGATTTTAATGACAGTTTAAAAAAAAAAATTTATCATCATCACAGCGCTGGCAGTTTAAATTCATACTGAAAAAAAGTTTTCTAGAATTACTGTAGTGTTTAGAATTGACCAATCTGTAACGACTTTTTTTTTCATTATGGCAGCATTGAAAATTGATTAGACTCGTAATATTGGGAAATTTTCTTCTGGGGCATGTTTCAGAGCATATTCATTCCATGTCAGCGGAGACGGCCAAATGCAGCCTGTTACTTTCCCGCCAGACGCTCTTATTGGCCCTGGCATCCCCAGGCACGCACGGCAGATTAACACATTAAACCACGGAGAGGTTGTGTGTGCTGTCACTGTTAGCAACCCAACCAGGCATGTCTATACTGGAGGCAAGGTCAGTTCTTTCTCACACTCTCTCTGTCTCTCTCTCTGTGTCTCTCTCTGTGTCTCTCTCTGTCTCTCTCTCTGTGTCTCTCTGTCTCTCTCTCTCTCTCTCTCTCTCTCTCTCTCTCTCTCTCTCTCTCTCTCTCTCTCTCTCTCACTGTGTATGTGTGTAATTATCTACTTGTGTGTGTGTGTTTCTCTCACTTGCTGTTTCTGTCACTCTCAGTTTGTCCTCAACTATCAGCTTGTATATAGAGCTCTATACCCCCTCCCCACCTACGTTAAGTCAGGGCGTAGTAAAGAGATCTTATGATGTGATAGAAAGCACATATAGAAGCATCATGGGTGTGCTGGAGTGTCCTGTGGATGTTTGCTTGTACCATCCCCAGATCTTGCCTCGTCCAGGTCAGATAATGCATATGGGACACCAGTAATTATAAGAAGAAGATAGCTGATACAACATTTCTATAAATGAGCCAAAGATGTCTTGAGTGGTGTCAGAGATGACTTTGACATAAGTTGCCAGCAGTATTGTCCTGAAGTGTGTGTGTGTCTCTCCTCTGGCCTGTCTTCAGTGGTCTGGGCAGCTAACACTTTTATACAGGTGGAGATGTTCTCGTGAGGTTGTGTATGTGAATTTGCTTGGCCTAGGAACATCTTCACTGCTGTTCTTAATGCTGTTGGCTAGATCTATGGAGAGCTGCAGTAGGAGAGTGGAAGTTAAAGTATAGTAATGGAAAGATGACAACTCAGGAGACAGTGAAACTACTAAAGATAGTATTGAATAGATGACAAATCAGGAGACAGTGTTACTACTAAAGATAGTATTGAATAGATGACAAATCAGGAGACAGTGATACTACTAAAGATAGTATTGAATAGATGACAAATCAGGAGACAGTGTTATTACTAAGGGAACGTGTTGTAATTAATATAGTATTGAATAGATGACAAATCAGGAGACAGTGTTATTACTAAGGGAACGTGTTGTTGATTAATAAAGTATTGAATAGATGACAAATCAGGAGACAGTGTTATTACTAAGGGAACCTGTTGTTGATTAATAAAGCATTGAACTGACAAATCAGGAGACAGTGTTATTACTAAGGGAACCTGTTGTTGATTAATAAAGCATTGAACTGACAAATCAGGAGATAGTGTTATTACTAGGGGAACCTGTTGTTGATTAATAAAGTATTGAACTGACAAATCAAGAGAAAACTGTGTTATTGTTTACTCCAATGGCTGTCTCCTTTGCAGTTTGAGATTAGAATGGAGTCTCATGTCTGTGTTAAGGACACACTGATATAAAGCCGGGGGGGGGGGGGGGGGGGTGGGGTTGATGTAATAATGGCAACATTCAGGAAGAGGATGGAAGTGCTGGCACCTATCGCAGAACAGTGCTGGCACTTATTGCAGAACAACAGTAGCCTGTAATGGAAAATAGGCCGCAGATATTTACAGCCAAATCCTGCCTCATTAAGGTGTCTGAAACAGTTTTTTAAATTATTTTTTTTCTTCAAATTCGGCTGAAACATTGTACATGTTTTTTTTGTATTGATACTATTTTTATTGTTGTCTTGACTGTGCAGGGTTGTGTCAAAGTCTGGGATATAAGCCAACCTGGCAATAAAAGTCCACCAGTCTCACAGTTGGACTGCCTGGTATGTCATGCATTCATTTTTCCTAACATTATTTTCAGCTTCCTAATCTTTTTTTATACTGATTTTGTCCATACAAACTGTGTTCAGAGCTGAGTTCTTGTTAATTGAAGATTTGGGTGAGACCTGGGATCAGTCTGGCTGTACAGTATGATACTACAGGTCTGACTACGGAGCTACGGTAGCGAGGAAAGAAACTGATCCCCTGCTGTGGTAATGATGTGACCTAGTATATTTAGAAGCCTGACATCACAGTTACAGTATCTGCCATTGGATACTATTGTTGCTGACACAAGCACACATCCATCTCCTGGCTAAAGCAGACCTGGTACTCTTCCTGTCATGGTCTATGTAGAACTACATCGCCACAGCCCTGGAACTACATCGCCACAGCCCTGGAACTACATCCCCACAGCCCTGGAACTATATCACCACAGCCCTGGAACTACATCGCCACAGCCCTGGAACTACATCCCCACAGCCCTGGAACTACATCGCCACAGCCCTGGAACTACATCCCCACAGCCCTGGAACTACATCGCCACAAGCCTGGAACTACATCGCCACAGCCCTGGAACTACATCGCCACAGCCCTGGAACTACATCGCCACAGCCCTGGAACTACATCGCCACAGCCCTGGAACTACATTGCCACAGCCCTGGAACTACATCGCCACAGTCCTGGAACTACATCGCCACAGTCCTGGAACTACATCGCCACAGCCCTGGAACTACATCACCACGGCCCTGGAACTACATCGCCACAGCCCTGGAACTACATCGCCACAACCCTGGAACTACATCGCCACAGCCCTGGAACTACATCGCCACAGCCCTGGAACTACATCGCCACGCCCTTCAACTACATCCCCACAGCCCTGGAACTATATCACCACGGCCCTGGAACTACATCGCCACAGTCCTGGAACTACATCGCCACAGTCCTGGAACTACATCGCCACGCCCTTCAACTACATCCCCACAGCCCTGGAACTATATCACCACGGCCCTGGAACTACATCGCCACAGCCCTGGAACTACATCGCCACAGCCCTGGAACTACATCGCCACAGCCCTGGAACTACATCACCACGGCCCTGGAACTACATCGCCACGCCCTTCAACTACATCCCCACAGCCCTGGAACTATATCACCACGGCCCTGGAACTACATCGCCACAGCCCTGGAACTACATCGCCACAGCCCTGCAACTACATCGCCACAGCCCTGGAACTATATCACCACAGCCTTGGAACTACATCGCCACAACCCTGGAACTACATCGCCACAGCCCTGGAACTATATCCCCACAGCCCTGGAACTATATCACCACAGCCTTGGAACTATATCGCCACAGCCCTGGAACTACATCGCCACAGTCCTGGAACTACATCGCCACAGCCCTGGAACTACATCGCCACAAGCCTGGAACTACATCACCACAGCCCTGGAACTACATCCCCACAGCCCTGGAACTATATCACCACAGCCTTGGAACTACATTGCCACAGTCCTGGAACTACATCCCCACAGCCCTGGAACTACATCCCCACAGCCCTGGAACTACATCGCCACAGTCCTGGAACTACATCCCCACAGCCCTGGAACTACATCGCCACAAGCCTGGAACTACATCGCCACAGCCCTGGAACTATATCACCACAGCCTTGGAACTATATCGCCACAGCCCTGGAACTACATCGCCACAGTCCTGGAACTACATCGCCACAGCCCTGGAACTACATCGCCACAAGCCTGGAACTACATCGCCACAGCCCTGGAACTACATCGCCACAGTCTTGGAACTACATCGCCACAGCCCTGGAACTACATCGCCACAGCCCTGGAACTACATCGCCACAACCCTGGAACTACATCGCCACAGCCCTGGAACTACATCGCCACAGCCCTGGAACTACATCGCCACAGCCCTGGAACTACATCGCCACAGCCCTGGAACTACATCGCCACAGCCCTGGAACTACATCGCCACAGCCCTGGAACTACATCGCCACAGCCCTGGAACTACATCGCCACAGCCCTGGAACTACATCGCCACAGTCCTGGAACTACATCGCCACAGTCCTGGAACTACATCACCACGGCCCTGGAACTACATCGCCACAGTCCTGGAACTACATCCCCACAGTCCTGGAACTACATCGCCACAGTCCTGGAACTACATCGCCACAGTCCTGGAACTACATCGCCACAGCCCTGGAACTACATCGCCATAGTCCTGGAACTACATCGCCACAGTCCTGGAACTGCATCGCCACAGTCCTGGAACTACATCGCCACAGTCCTGGAACACATCACCACAGCCCTGGAACTACATCGCCACAGTCCTGGAACTACATCGCCACAGTCCTGGAACTACATCGCCACAGTCCTGGAACTACATCACCACAGCCCCTGGAACTACATCGCCACAGTCCTGGAACTACATCGCCACAGTCCCTGGAACTACATCGCCACAGTCCTGGAACTACATCACCACAGTCCTGGAACTACATCGCCACAGCCCTGGAACTACATCACCACGGCCCTGGAACTACATCGCCACAGTCCTGGAACTACATCGCCACAGTCCTGGAACTACATCACCACAGCCCTGGAACTACATCGCCACAGTCCTGGAACTACATCGCCACAGTCCTGGAACTACATCGCCACAGTCCTGGAACTACATCACCACAGTCCTGGAACTACATCGCCACAGTCCTGGAACTACATCGCCACAGTCCTGGAACTACATCGCCACAGCCCTGGAACTACTAAGGGTAGCAGGCTAGACATTTAGTAGCCACAAATTATAAGACCTATATGCACCTGAAAACTTCCCTGACAGTTGGATAAGAATTAGAACAGGCTGCTACTAGTTACTCTGGCATCCAAGGGAGTCTTAACATTCGTTTGAGAAACCAAATCTAAATGGCCTCCAAGTTCTTTCTAATTTATGCATTCACATACCATGATTTACTACAATACAGAAATATAAGTTCTAATAACAGTTTAGTATTCCTTCTGATATGCAAAGAGAGGGACCTGTTGAGCAAGATGATCTTCATTCTGTGAAATGCAGCCTTTAGCCACACTTTAGAACACACACACACACACACACACACCACACACACACAACTGATGATGTGAGATTCTGATATGCTGACATTTGGATCCTGGCTGGTCTGCAAAGTTTGTAGCACTGGGCTGAGTTTTTTCATGTGTGTTCTATGGGAGGGGACTTGGGTACACAATAAATGATTTTTTTTTTTTTTTTTTTTTACTTTTTTTTTTTTTTTTTCAAAACCAAACCAATTCAGATGACTATTTAATAGATATAAAATA